CCACTATAAGATCACCATAACGAAAGAAAACTTTGACTCTCAGAGGACTTCACAGTTCATTTTGAGTTAATTTTTATATGTGGTACAAGCTAAGAATAGAAATTCGTTTTTTACCCCCACACAAATCACCAATTGTCCGACAGTATTTGTTGAAAAGACTACTTTCTCCCCCATTTAATTACCTTGGCACCTCTGTCAAAACAAATCGACCAGCCAAGCACCAGTGGCTCATGCCTATAATCCTAGTTACTTGGGAGGATCGCAGTTCAAGGCTAGCCCAGGCAAAAAAAAAAGTTCTTAAGTCCTCATCTTAACAGAAAAAGCTGGGCACAGTGGCACATACCTGTCGCCCCAGCTACCATGGGAAGCATAGGATAGGAGGATCGTGGTCCAGGCCAGCTTGGACAAGGCAAAAAGCGGGACCATATCTCAAAAATAACCAGAGCATAAAGGGCTGAGGGTGTGGTTCCACATTGCAAGGGCCTGAGTTCAAACCAGTACCACCAAAAGCAAAACCAGATTGACTGTAGATGACTGTAGAATCCATTTCTAGACTCTTTTTTTTTTTTTAAATATTTTTAGCAAAACAAAGTTTTGATTACGGTAGCTTGTTAGTAAGCCTTGAAAGCAGTCCTCCAGCTTTGTTTTTCTTTTTCAGAATTGTTTTGATTATTTTAAGTTCAGTATGTAAAATGATAATAGTGACCAAAGAAAGTTTATTTGAGGAGTACTAGGTTTATTTGACATTAGAAAATCAGGCAATGTGACTTATATTCTCAATAGGCTAAAAGAGAAAAATAATTTAATTATCTCCATAGATGAAGAAAAGGCAGTCTGGCCAAATTCAACATCCATTTGTGATAAAGCTCCCAGTAAAACAGAACAAGAATAGCACTGCCTCTGTGCAGTAGAGCTTCCAGTTAATACAGTCAATGGGAAAAACTTGAATGCCTTACCCTAAGATTGGGAATAAGATTAGGATATTTGTTCTCAGTGTTACCCTGAAGATCCTAGCCAGCACATAAAGAAAAGAAAAAAAAAAAAAAGGTAAAGATGAGAAGTGAAGAAATGATATTTGTCTTCATTGCAGATAATCTTATTGTCTACATAGAAAAAAAATCCCCAAGAATCTCCAGAAAAGCTACTAGAACAAATTCATGAGTTTGGCAGGGTTGTAGAATTCATGGTCAACATTCAGAAATGAATTGTATTTCTATTAGTAATGTATAATTGGAAATTGAAATTCCAAAAGATAGAATTTATAATTACATCCAAAGGATGAAATACCTAGGGATGCGTTGCATAAAATATGTGCAAGATTTATATGCTGAAAACTACAAAGCATTGCTAAGAGAAATTGAGAGGAGACCTGAATAAATGAAGAGACATCATGTGAATGGTCAGAGGACTCAATCTCGTCATATGTCAGTTTTCCAAATTCATCTGCAGATCCAATTCAGTCCAGCACAGTCCAGTAGGATATCTAAAAGTTCCTTTACAAGGGCTGGGAACATAGCTTAGGGGTAGAATGCTTAGCATGCACAAGGCCCTGTGCTCAATCCCTAGCACCCACTTTAAGAAAAAAAAAGTTTTATAAGGATTAACTAGGATTGGGTGTGAAGTGGCAAAGGAGACAGCAAGTAGGTTTTTTGGTTTGTTTTAATAGAAATTGGCAAACATAAAATAATTTCAAAAATTTGTCCTAACTCTAAAAGAAAATAGAAATCACATTTTAAATAACAACAGTTAATATTTATTAAATATAATGTTAGTTTATTTAAAAACATTTTTCATATATTAACTGATTTAATCCTTAAAACAGGGCTGTGGAATACTATTATTTCTATTTATTGGGTTATGAGATGTAGGTATAAAGAGGTTAAGTAACTTTCTCAAGGCTAAATTCTGACCTAGGCTGGCTAATACTGACTCCTGAGCTTTGGTTTGCAGCAGGTTCATAGTATGATCTATGATGCTGGTTCATTTGAGTGGACGTTTATGCATCCACTCAAATCATCCCATCGCTGAGTGTAAGGAAAGTGCTGCTGAGGCAGGATTCTCTGCAGAGACAGAAAGGAAAAAAGAGAGGTACACGAGAGGGGACTTATTAGGGAAATTGGCTCACATAATCATGGAGGCTAGAAGTCCTATAGAATGCCATCTGCAAATCTGCAAGCAGGACAAACAAGGAGGCCAGTAGCATGACTTGAGTCCCACGTCCAAAAGCCACAGAACCAGAGAAACTGATGGTGTAACTCTCATCCTGAGGCTCGTGGCCTGAGAACCCTGGGAACTGTGATATAAGCCCTGGAATCCATAGGCAGGAGAACCTGGTGTTTCGATGTCCAAGAGCAGCAAAAGGCTGTCGTAGCTCCAGGAGAGAATGTGAATTTGCCTTTCCTCTGCATTTGTGTTCCATTCTGGCTCCCAGCTGATTGCATGATGCCTACCCACCTTAAGATCTGGCCTCACTAATCCGTGGACTCACATGTCAGTCTCTTCCAGAAACACTCTCATAGGCACACCCAGAAAAAGTTATTTGGGTATTCCTTAATCCAACCAAGTTGATACCTGAAATTAACCATCACAGTTAGTAATCAGAAATTCTATTTGCATGATTATTTCATGTGGCAATTAATTTTTGTTGTCTTTAATAAGTTAACTACACTACTCTTTCTTTATAAAAAAGAGTTAGCTAAGGTTGTGTAAATACAGCCAATATGTAGCTTTTCACATGGTTTTAATTAGCATAGTGTTTTGGTGACTATACTCTCCAAACTAAAAACCAGAGTGTTTATGGCTTTGGGGATGTGAAAGTCAGGCTGTAAAATACATAAAGACTGAAGAATTGGGATTTCGCAGCCATGAAATGACCTTTTAGCCTGGCATTAGAATCATATCTGGAGCTTCTTAACTCCCTATTCATGCCCCTTTTCCAAAGTAAATTGGAATGCTCTAAATGTAATTCTGAAGCACATCTTAGTTGAGATACACTCATTTACAGAAGACAGTTGCTGAGCTGTCAAATCCATACTATATGATCACCATGTTTTGTAATTATTATTACAAAATTATTATTAGTTTTTTTTTTTTTTTTGGCAGCACCGGGGTTTGAACTCAGGACTTTGAGCTTGCTAGGCAGGCTCTTTACACTTGACTACACCTCGATCCCTTTTTGCTCTTGTTATGTTTGTGATAGGGCCTCATTTTTTTCCCAGGCCAGCCTGGACCATGATCCTCCTATTTTAAGCTTCCCACCATAGCTGAAATGATAGGTGTGCCACCATTTATATTCCATTTAGGTGGAGGTCACACAAATTTTTTTGCACTGGCTGGTCTGCAGTTGTGATCCTCCTGTATAGCTTGGGATGACGGGTGTGTCCCTCCATGCCCAGCTATTGGTGGAGATGGGGTCTTATGACCCCTGCCTGGGATGACCTTGAACTGCAATTCTGCCTATCTTAGCATCCCAAGTAGCTAGGGGTTACAGGTGTGAGCCACTGGCACCCAGCAAAGGTAGAATTCTTTAGGAATGGCTATTGGCACAGCAAATCTGGACTCTTAAAATCATTCTTGCTTATCAGAGTTCTTTCCCTTTCCATTTTCTTTACTGTGTGTTATCTGCTATTTCACACTTAGTTGTGCTCAGAAATCCTGTGGATGAGTCTGTATTACAACCACTCACCTCAGGCCCCCTTCTACAATACAGGCTTTAAGTTATTGTGGGACAATACTAAAATTATTTTAGTTAGGCCTCTCCTGTCTCCCTGTAGTGTTTTCTGTTGTGATTGAAGGAGGTTTTCAGAGGTAACTGATGCCACAGGTTTCCAGGTGAGCCATGTAAAAGGTGTCTTTTGTATTAAACTGAAGTGCAGTAAAAGAAGGTGCAGGCAGGAGGATCTTTCATTCAAAGCCAGCCCAGGTAAAAAGGTAGCAAGACCCTGTTCAAAAATAGAATAAAACCAAAGAGGTGAGGGTGTAGCTTAAGTAGTAGAGCACTTGCCCAGCAAGCCAGAGTAAGGCTGGCCATAGATTAAAGTCCCAATATTAGGATGGGGAGGAGGAGTGAAGACAGTAAAAGAATAGCTATGAAAAGTAAAATTATTAGAGCCTCCTCATTTAAGAGTGATAGGAAGTTTGAATTAAAAAGACTTTAGAGATTATCTAGTATGAGTTTTGGATTTGCTAGAAGTAAAATTAAGCTGAGAGAGGATTGACTTTCCAAAGATAGCATAACTAATTTGCAAATAGGTAAGTATAGGACTTATCTGGGCACTGGTGGCTCACTCCTGTAAGCTTTCTAGCTACTTGGGAGGATTGCAGTTTTAGGCCAACCTGGGCAAATACTTTGTAAGACTCCATCTCCAAAAAGTGTGGCTCACGTGCTAGAATGCCTGCTTTGCAAGCATGAAGCCCTGAGTTCAAACTCCAGTCACACACACACAAAATTGTAGCATTCAAATAATTACATGGTTACAAAAAGGTAAACTTTTTCGTTTCATAATTTGAAATTTGATTAATATGTTTTACAGTAAATATTTTATTATATGAGCTTTTAAATTTTATAAATGTTGCTGTTTATTAATTTCCTTTAAAATAGAACCCAAATAATATTAGTGATAATTTTTGGGGTTTTTTTCTTTGGTGTTACAGGGTTTGAGCTCAGAGCCTTGTGCTTACTAGACACATATCTACCACTTTGGCCATGCTCCCAGCTAGTCATAGTTTTAAAGAAAGAAAGTCTTTATCTAGTGTCTTAGTGTCTTAAATTATTAAAAGGGTCTGGTGCGGGGTCTGTTGTCACTTCAGTGTGTTAGCCTGCTGGAGAAATCCTTTTTCAAGCCATAGAATTACTTCTGTCTTCCCATTCAATTGATTAGGAAGAAGTTTTGGTTTCCTTGTTAACTTTCCTCTGGTAAAGCCCCCCTTTTTTTTTTAAATCAACATTAGTAGCATAGGCTTACTAAACTTGTTCTATTTGTTTTCTCCATGGATTTCAGTTAAGGAGAAACTAACTGCTGATCCAGACAGTGAAATCGCTACAACTAGCCTGAGGGTCTCTCTTCTGTGTCCGGTAAGTGCTTACCGATGCTTCTTTGGAGGCCTAGTGTGTATTTCCTCTTCGTTAAGTATTTTCAGTATTTGAGAAATCAAGTTTACTTTTAAAATAAGTGCAACTTTGTTACAATTTATGAAAAATGGAAAAATTGAAGCAGAGCTGGAAGAATCTTTGAGATCCATCCACACACCTGTAAGCCCAAATAGAAATGACTTGGAGTTGATAATAGAAGAAAAATAAGAGAACTAGAAATTTATGAGATATTTATTTTTATGAAAAGTTGTAAGATTTTTCTTAATATCACACTTTTTTTTAATACAAGAAAACATATTTTGTTAACATTTTTAGGGTCCGTCTTAATAAATAAGCTGGTTTAAACATATCTAAACTATTTTTCTCCTGCAGCTGTAATACTGCACTATTAGAGTAAGGTCAGGAGCCCTAGAAAACATATTTGGGAGTTGATTTCAAAGTGTTTATTTGTAAATGATGCAGATATCCATCATGCCCTTTAATGGGAAAGGGGCATTTATGTCAAGATGAAGTTATTTCAAGTTCAACGTCCCTTCCGATAGAGAAAGTAGGCATCGATGTGTCAGAACTTAAAGTTCACTGATTATTTTTAAAAATCAGGGTTAATGAGGATTATCTCATAATAGTTATTTTATGATTCTTTGAAACAAAACATTTCGAAAATGAACTTCTGTTTTCCTGTACCCATTTACAAATGTCCTTCCTGCACCATTCTCTCATCAGTGCTCCTTAAAGCTGTGTGTCACCTTGTCAATGTAGCAGATCATAAAAGCTTAAGAGTTGCTTTCTTGCCTAAAAGATGTGATCTGACAGGTAGAGATTATAGGGTAAAGATTTTCGAAATAAAGGTTTTTGGATAATATAAATTTTATGGCCTATGGCTTGGATTCTGAACAGTCTTTACTTCTTATTATCACATCCATTGTCTTTATAAACCATTACAAGTAGCTTAGTAGTTCTGCAGTTGTGTACCTTTTTAATCTGTGGCATCTTCACGTAATATTAAGACAATGTTAGTGGAATTTGCACATCAAAGCTAAGGTCTGACTTCAGATATAAAAATTTTAATTTGGCACTGCTAGCCAGACTGCAGTCTGGACTAGTGCTGGTATCTTGCCTAATGGCAAATAGGTGATTATTTTTTCTGTTGCAAAAACTAGTGTGTTCTTTTGCACTTTTTATCAGTGCTCATTTGAATCAAATTATAAAAATTGAATAGAAGTGCTGTAAAGGGGATAATGAAGCTGTTTTAATGCTTTGTAAGTTGAGAGTGGAAGAGTGAGCAGACTGGGGATGTAGTTCAAGTGGTAGAGCACCTGCCTGCTCAGTGCAAGGCCCTGAGTTCAAACCCTATAGCCTCCAATGAATGAATGAATGAATGAATGAGTAAGTAAGTAGGTAAATAAAAGAATGAGCTGCAGTTTAGTTGGGCCTCCTGGTATACAAAGTGATCTAGAGCAAGTGCACTTCTAAGCTTTAATTGATTAGCAATAGCGGCATCTATTGAAAACGTACTATAATTTGATCCCCCCCCCCCGCAGTCTTGTGGTGTAGGTGTTATTTTTATCCCACTTAATAAAGCAGCCTCCAAGTGAGTCGATGAAAGGACAGTGAGGACTCACACAGTGATTAGCAGGGCTGAAATTGAATTTAGATACCCTAACATTAGAGCTCCACTCGGGGATGCCTCAAAAAGTGTTGCATGCTGGCTGCAAGTGGTTTCTCTTAAAACCTCACAGTGTGCACAGCTGAAGTCTTATCAGTACCCAGGACTCTTCCTACTGCAGAGCAGGTACATTTCCAAGTGCAGGGCGAGGATAGGTTCCTGACCCACTTTTATAGGAGGCACATAAATAGTGCAGTCCTATACAGGAATGGAGTTGGGAGCGTGCAGTTTTCTCCAGATACCTCCTGACCCTAAGTCTACCATAAGTTAGCATTGCTTCTGTCTCAGGCACTAAGTTCTTCATTACTGTGTCTGGTTGAAGTAAAAAGGAAACAGTGTTGGTTTTGAGATAGAAAAGGAGGCCCAGAAAGGCCTTTCCTAGAGCACAGTAAATCATTGGTACCAAAACAGTAATTCAGGGCCCCAGGTGACAGTTAATTTCCTTGGTAGACTAGGAAATTTCACATTTCCCTGAAATTCTTTTAAGAATTTTCAAGAATCTTCCTCATTTAACTCATATCCTTTTCAAGCCTTTATATTTTTAAGCTCACACATACAATGTGTGGAAAATCTTTTCCAGGTACTTGACAAATAATGGGTTATTGAAAGTGGAAATCCCAGTACTCAGGAGACTGAGGCAGGAGGTCACAAGTTTGAGACCAGCCTGGGCTACAAAGGAGCCCAGTCTCAAAAAATAAATTTAAAAATCCGGACCTAGTGGCTCATACCTGTAATCCTAGCTACTTGGCTACTTGGGAGGCAGAGATCAGGACTGTGGTTCAAGGTCAGCCCCCGGAGGAGGGGGGAATTCAAAAGACCTCATCTTAACCAATAAAAAGGTGGATGTAGTGGTGTACACCTGTCATCCCAGCTACACAGGAGTCATAAATAGGGCCGGTCCAGGCATAAAAGCCAGACCCTATTTGGTAAGTAACTAATGAAAACAAAAAGGGTTAGGGGTGTGACTCAAGCAGTAGAGCACCTGCCTAGCAAGCACAAGGCCCCAATTTCAAACCCCAGTACCACCAAAAAAAAAAAAAAAAAATGTAGGTAACTCTACTCTCTGTGGTTTGGGGACCCCACAATGGTGCAACTGGTCCCCTAGGGAAATAAAGAGGTTTCATATGTCAGTTTCCTGTATGGATCTCTGGACAGTGTCTCTACCTTGGACCAAAGCTAGCAGTTCTGGGACCAGATCTATCAATTCAAGCAGCATTTGCAAGGCAAGAACAGAAGTCTCCTAACATGCTGGAGATGCCAGAGGCCATGGCTGCTTGCTAAATTGCCAGTGATGATGCCAGTGAGGGAGAGCTGCAGAGTGCACCCAGCCACTTCCTTCAGAGCTGCCACTTAGCATGTCCTGTGCACCACTCCCATCCAGAGATAAGGCTGATGCTGAGCATTGTGTGTGTCTTGTATAAGAAGACATTCTTTTTTCCTTTTCCTAGTTCCTAGTTAGAGGGTTCTTAACTTTTTTCAGATCATGCTGCTTTAAGAATTTGAGAGCACTCTTTGCAGACAAAGGCACACATGTACAAAATTTTGCATAGCATTTCAGAGGCATTCAGGGCCCTCCCTGCAATAAGCTAATCTAACAGGCTACAGAAAAGAATGAGTGACCCTTGGCTGTGGGCTTTCTGCAGTCAGTTTGATATCCAAAGCATTATTGTAGGTATGTTTCATAGAAAATGTGCTCTTCCACCTTGATGAAGAAGAAACCACATGCTCTAGGTCAGAACAGATACACATTGTGTTTCAGGAAATGTTTACCAGCACTTGTGTTTTGGAGAACAGCTGTCTAACATTTATTCTTCCTCTCTCTTTCAAAGCTTGGCAAAATGCGGCTCACAATTCCATGCCGGGCCCTTACGTGTTCCCATCTGCAGTGTTTTGATGCCACTCTTTACATTCAGATGAATGAGAAAAAGCCAACCTGGGTGTGTCCTGTCTGTGATAAGAAGGCTCCGTACGAACACCTCATTATTGATGGGTATGCCACTTCAGTTTTCCCTTGTACCTTGAATGGACTGTTAAGGTTGGGATGAAATTTCTGTGTGTGATATTTTGTAAGTTACATATTATAGAATTTTCATGATCATAAAAGCCAGTATTGTCAAAGTAAGTAAGTAATATTATAAATACTTTCCATTTTTGACTTAACTTGAAAATGCATGCTTTCCTTGACTATTTAAAGCACCAGTGGTTCTAAAGCAGGGTATGCATGTACCTTTTCCTAATGAGTCTACTGTCTACACATGTGTAGACCACGGTATCCATGAAAGCAGGGGAGAGTTGTGAGATTCTGGTCAACTCAGGCTCATCAAAAATTGGGCTTTTTTTGTGCTTAGTTAGGCAGCACATATACTAAAATTGGAACAGTTCAGGGAAGATTAGCATGGCACCTTTGCAAGGATGACACACAAATTCATGAAAATTCCTTTTTTTTTTTTTTTTTAATTGGGCTTTTTAGTAGAAGTTAGCCTATTTGTAGAGATTGATCAAGCTACAGTCACATTCTATCACACCTATTTTCTCCCCATAAAGGCTCTTTAAACTGACCAAAAAACTGAATAGCAGCTTTCTTTGCTTTTCTGTTTGTATTTCTGTTCTTCCCTTCTTTCATTTTTCTTTTTTTCTCTTTTGTCTTCACCTACCGCATAACACTGATCAGTTATTTTCTTTAATACATCTATGTCCTGTGTTTTATCTGTCCAGTTAGATATTTACAGATGACTCTTTTCCCCCCACCACCTTTTTTTCTTTGGTAGTACTGGGATTTGAACTCAAGGCCTCATGCTTGCCAGGCAGGCACTCTATTGCTTGAGCCATTCCCCTAGCCCTTTTTCCTCCTCTTTTTGCTAGGGAAAAAGAAAATACATTGTGAAAAGGAGACTATTCAATTAATATTTCTGTAGCAAAACACTTAAGGCAACTATTTATAGTGTTTGAGAAAGCATAGGAATAGAGTCTGAAGGAGTAATACCAAAATAGGATATACTTATCAGTGAAATTATAACCTAGAGCTTTAAAGATGTCAGTCATGGTGAAAAATAAATATGTAACATAAGCGATTTTTAATTTTCCAGAAATGAAAGGATCATTTGGGTGTCAGTGGCTTTTCACCCCTGGCTAGACAGGACCAATCCCAGCCCTGGGCAAAACCTTGAGACCCTATCTAAAATATAACCATAGCAAAAAGGCTGGGGGTGTGACTCAAGCAGTAGAGCACCAGCCTAGCACATATGAAGCCTCCCTCCTCCCTCCTCCCTCCTCCCTCCTTTCCTTCCTTCCTTTAGTTTGGTTTTTTAGACAAGGTCCTACTATGTAGCTCAGGCTAGCCTTGAACTTGAGATCCTCCTGTCCTAGCCTTCCAATTTCTGAGATTACAGACATAGGCCACCACATTCTTAGGTTTCATTTAACATTATAACCTAAGAATTTGACCATAATCTGACCATTTTCTTTTTCCTCTTTTGTACTTGTGTAAAATATAGAAGATGTGAATACTTGACAGTAATTATTTCCAATTTATCTTCATTTAAAATGTGCTGTCCTAAAGACAAATTTTTTTATAGTTTGTTTATGGAAATCCTAAAGTACTGTACAGACTGTGATGAAATACAGTTTAAAGAGGATGGCTCTTGGGCACCGATGAGATCGAAAAAGGAAGTACAGGAAGTTTCTGCCTCCTACAATGGAGTTGACGGTGAGTGCTATTTTTTCACAGGGCTGGGCTGCTGGTTTTCAACATTAAAATACATACTTTTATTTGCAGTGCTGGGATTGAACCCAAGGCCTTGAATGTGCTTGGCAAACTCTTCAACTGATAATTGATTCAGTCTTTAGACGTAATAGAGTTCCTTTTAAGTTAACTTTTTTGCCAGTTTTAAATTTTTTCTGATACTAGATTTCAAAGTAACGTAATTAATAATCATCTTAAAGTCATACTTTTGAAACAATATTCTTTTTAAATTTTGACAGATTTGGTACAGATTGGTGAATGTTCCTTTTTTTTTTTTTTTTTGCAGAGGGGGCAGTACTGGGGTTTGAATTCAGGGCCTGGAGCTTGCTAGGCAAGTGCTCTGTCATTTGAGCCACCCCCACCCTAATGTTCCTTTTTTTATTTGACTTTTAGTATGTTTTTGTTGGAAGGAGACTGATTTTTTAAAAAAGTTAGCATAATGTGTCATGTACTGTGCAGATAAATGTATGTAGTGCATACTTTCTGCTGCTCGCTGTCTACTTTTACTCTGAAGTGGCCACAAAACATACATTTTGATTGTCCTAATTCAGAACTGTAAATAATCATTTAATGACTAATAAACAAACTCTGTTGGTTTTCCACTCTGTAGCCACAAAAATATTGTGGGTTAAACTGAATGTTAATCTGTAGAAAAAGGAGATGACCTGGGCTTCTGTGCCTGTATTTTAATCATTCCCTTGCAGGATGCTTGAGCTCTACATTGGAGCACCAGGTGGCTTCTCACAATCAGTCCTCAAATAAAAACAAGAAAGTAGAGGTGATTGACCTAACCATAGACAGTTCATCAGATGAAGAGGAGGAAGAGCCGTCTGCCAAGAGGACCTGCCCTTCCCTATCTCCCACATCACCACTAAATAGTAAAGGGTAAGTGCTGAGACCTTTGAAAAACAAGTTATTGTGAAAGGTAATTTGATAAGTAGGATTAAAGACATGCCAAATAAAGTAATTGTGCTTATTACTTAGGTTGACTTTTCCCCAGGTATGTGGTGTTCTTAAAGGATTTAGAGTAATGCATTAGAAGAGCACTTGGATATACACATGTCAAAGCTGAGTCCAGTACACATGGTTGTTTTCAAGCTCTGGTGTGCATCAGAATCACCAAGAGCTTATTGAAACACAGTGCTATCCCATGTCTGAGTGAAGAGAAGGGACTGAGAAAATTTGCATTTCTAGTAAGTTCCCAGGTGATCCTGAAATTGCTTATAGGATTTGCAACATTTTCTAAACACTGGAAACTTTCTGCTGGAAACTTAAGTCCGGTTGAGTGTGTCTAGTGGGAAGCTGAGGAAGAGTGGATGATTGAACCCTGCCATGGGATGGTGAGGCTGCCAGGAGAGAGGCAGAGATGAGAGTTTCAGTCCCCCACATGACCCTTATTTTCCATTGTCCCATCAGTCATAATGTAACTCGTTTTGCTTCAGTTGGGTTCATAAAACAGTGTTATTTACCTTGTGTGAAACACCCTGTGCTAAGCATGGATGATAATAAAATAGTAAGAATGGGCCCAGCCTTAAAGAGTACAATAGTTTGTAGTGTCTGGCACAACAAAAGCAAGCTCTAGCTATGCTCTGAAACAGGTTCTCAGTTTCATAAACACACGGGCATTTCTTTGCAGAAACATTTTGTGTTTTGCTGTTCATGATTGCAGCCACTAATAGTGAATATGGAAATAAATAAGCCTTTTTTTAGATGTATATCAAGAGAATTCCATGACCTTTTGTACCTGAATAGGCACTATTGAAAAAGTCCTCCATCAAACTGCACTGAAGAAAGAACATAAAGGAGATCAGGAAAGTCCATGAATGGTGTCCTCCCACATATCTAGGTTCAACAGGGAAGTTGACACCAGGCCAAGACCATTGCTGTGTTGGAGTCATGTCATTTAAGGATTGATACTGTATGATGAGATTGAAAGGTCTGAGTCAGACACATGCAGTTTGATATTTTCGTTCCCCAGTGGCTCATCTCAGCACAGACAAACAGACTCTAAAGGCAGCAGCATTGCTCTCAACCCAGTGAGTGTGAAGCACTGTCTGCGAACATCTTTGAGGAAAGCCCCCTTGATGGCACTGTCAGTGGCCTGACCTTGTTACTATGCTGCCTTATTTTGTAAATCTGAGCAGGAGAGAAAGAAAAGTCAGAGTGCCTGAATTGGCATACTTAGAATAAGTATCTATAGAATTTTAGCCCCAAATATTTTACTTATTCATTAATTTTTATTTTTTGCAGTGTTGGAGATGGAAAGCCTGGGTGCTAGGCTTGCTAGGCAAGTGAGGGGAGCTGTATCCCCAGCCCCCAAGTACTTTACGAATCAATCCATAGTCTGACCAAATGCATACTTGCCTTTCTGTAACCATGGGTTCCCCATCCATGGGTTTAAAAAAAAAAAATTGTGTCTGTCCTGAACATGTACTGACTTTTTTTTTTTTTCTTGTCATTGCCCAAATGATACAGTCTAACAACAATTGACATGGCATTTGTTTGGGGTATTTTGAGTAATTAGAGATGATTTAAAGCATGCAGGAGCCTATCACATTTCGTGTAGAGGACTTGAGCATCTTTGGATTTTGGTACCTGCAGGGGATCCTGGAACCAATTCCCCACAGACACTCAAAAATGCCTGTATTATCATATTTGTAATGCCATAATTACATTTGGCACACATATGGCATTTAATGCCATAATTACAAATGTAATTTTAATGTAGGTATTAAAAAGATACCTAACAAGACTTTTTTTTTTGGCGGTACTGGGGTTTGAACTGAGTACCTACACCTTGAGTCACTCCACCAGCCCTTTTTTTGTGATAGATAGGGTCTCTCGAACCATTTTCCCAGGCTGGCTTAGAACCACGATCCTCCTGATTTCTGCCGCCTGAGTAGCTACAGTTATAGGTGTGAGCCACTGGTGCCCAGCCTAACAAGACTCTTAAGGGTATAGAAGTACTTTGGGGTTAAGTGCATCATTATTTTGTCTTCTACTCTTTAGAATGTTATTAATAACCATATAGAAACTATGCAGTAATTTTACTGTCTGTGTATTTTTTCCTTAAGGAAAATTTTTGTTTAGAAATCTCATATTTCTTCTTTGGATGCTTACTTTGTTGTTTCTCCAAAAATAGCTCTATTTATAATATTTGGAAAATTGCATTAGATGCATTAACTATCTCCTGAGTTTCCCAGTAACTATTTGAACCCAGGTAGAGTACTACACATGTCAAACCTTTCTCTTTGCTTTCAGATACAGTCTGAAAGTTTACAGTACCCTTAGATGATAACACCCTTTCAACAGTAGCAGCCACTTGCAGTAGTGACTGTCTCGTACCTGGGAATTTAAGCACAGCATGCTGTGGCTGTGCAGTGAAAGGTAGAAATGCATTTTAGAACATTACACAAAACAAGAAAGAGTGAAGGATTGCTAAAACAAAGTGCATTTTGTTGTCTTCAGCCAGTGGATGTTTAGTTTATCCAGAAGTTTCTCATAGTGTTTGCTATGCCAGGGTGTTTTCAAGCACTAGCATTTCAGCTTACTTCTTCTTTTTTATAACCCCTTAAGCATGACAGGGACACAGCTGATAGAGCATGGTACTGTGAACAGATGTCAGAGGCTTGTTTCCATTAGATGAAACACTTTCATGAGGCAGATGAGAGTGTTCATATCCCATTCATAAAAATGTGGTACATGTTCATCACTAGAGTTCCCCTGGAAATCTAATCTGAGCATCTTTCAAAATGCTCTGAACCACTGAAATCGCATCCCACCCCCAAGTGCCCTACATAACTGCTAGAACAAGGGACAGTTTCTTTACTCCTTCCTTTCTCTTGTATTTCCTATAGCTTATAAGCCTGTTAGCCTTTGATGTGGCTGGGATGACACATAGCCCTTTGTTTCTCCCCAGGACTCATAGTTCTTTATTCTCAAACTCAATTAAGTTACTCCTTTTTTCTTCCTCCTTTTTGCTTTCTTCTCGTAATTTTTGGTAAAAAGAAAGACTTGCTTCCCAGTATTTAAATATTTCGCTGTTTTTCTAGGATCCCTCTTTTTTCTTACTCCAGTTACACCACTATCCTTTTATAAACTCTGTACCACCCATTTGTTTTGGAGCATCTCTTGCTATCTCATAGCCTTCCTTGCTCTCAGCCGGCCCTGTATGCCACCAGTATGCTGACCACTGTGCTGGGCGCTGGGCACACCTAAGATCAGCTGCCCAGTCCTTATTCTCATCCGCTTACCAGCCTGTTCACATGGCCACATGTCCCTTGTTTTATCTGCATGTTTTCCTTGCTAGGATGCACCTAGATTTCTTACTAGCCAACCCCCACCCAGTGCTCACTTGGAAAAGGTTGCAGAGTTCCCCAGTATGGATGCCTTTCACTCACACCCTATTGCAGTGGCTCAGCTGTGCCTTTCTCCTGCATTCTTAAGAGTATAGGTGACAGTATTCCAAAGACATTGTGGGGTTTGTGAATGTGTCATGTTGGTTCAGTTCACCTTATAGCCTCTGGAAAGTGCTGTTAAGTGTATAAATTATTTCTTAATAATCATGGATAGCCTAAATTATATTTTGCTTTGTCTGTTTGTGAGATGCAAGCCCTTTATTTATTCACCTTAAACCCACTCATTTCCTTCCTGCAGCATCTTAAGTCTTCCACATCAAGCATCTCCAGTGTCCCGCACCCCCAGCCTTCCTGCTGTGGACACAAGCTACATCAACACCTCCCTCATCCAAGACTACAGGCACCCTTTCCACATGACACCCATGCCTTATGACCTACAAGGTGAGTCGCTGGCTCTTCTGCATCATCACATCAGCTGTTGAACACCTTTGGTCTGTGTAGTCGTCATCTGTGTGAGTCTAAGGAAGAATTGGAAGATTGGGAGAACAGGGCCTAGGGCCCAGGGAATTGAAAGAAATGATGTAGTATGATCATAGAAGCTGACCGAGTTCCTCAAGGGTGCCTTCATCAGTAGCCCAGGCTTTACTAGCTGCAGAACTGGTGCAGTGATGTTAGGTGCCATAAGCCTTATGGTTTTCTACAAGTTGTTTCGGGATGACTTCCAATATGTGGCTTCGAATTTTGATGCTGTAAACGTTACCTCTTGTTCCCTGGTTCTACTTGCAGTACAGAGAGCATTCTAGGTTATAGTATTTTCAGGTATTGCTGAATTGAGACATGTGAAAGTTTTGATCTTGATTCTACTGGGCCTTATCCTTTTTACAAAAACAGTTTGATATGTCAGTATGCTATTTTGTATGATGTATTTTGAGTTCATAAAAAGCATTTATACTATCAAAAAGAATAAGTCATCGTAGATCTTTGTGACTTAATTTATATATTAGTCCTATAACTTCTCCAGAAGTTAGTTACTATTAACAGTTTGCCAGCTATCTCTCCATACCTTTTTGCTTATGTATGAAATATGCCTGCTGCTGTCAAGGACCACAGCTATACATTTTGTAGGCCCTCTTGTGGTGATATGTGGATTACCAGGGCATTTGTGTTGAATTTTTATCCACATCTGCTTGTTGTACTTTTCCCACAAGTTGCACGTCATCATGAGGGCTTTCATTCATTTTGGTTTACTTGCTCTTCGTCATGTTGGGTACACATCACAATGTGTAATGTGATGAAAATAAGTATGCAAATTGGAAGGGCCTGCTTGCAGGCAAGGAACAGAGCTGGGCTTTCTGTAATAGCCACAGCCCAGCTCTCAGGCACCCCACTGCAGGGACTCTGAGTTAGAATCTGGTAAAGATGGTGGTAAATGAGCAAATCTGAGAAAGGGAACTAAAAGCTTTGCTATGCCTCACATTCTCACCTGTAAAAAACAGGGTCAACAACAATCCAGATCTCATGAGGGGCTTGTGGACAGTGAAAGGTGCCTGAAGAAGAGTCAGTGGGAGCTGGGGATGGGTGTAATGTTTAAGAGAGCAGCATTGGACCCAAGGAGATGACAAGTCATTGCTAAAGCTAAAGGTGGGGCTTGGGCCTTCCTAGTCTTGTGTGGGGAAGGGGTGCATAAAGCATGCAGCATAACACTTGGTGCTCACACACAGTTCCAGATGACTTAGCAGAAAGCTTGTGCTTGTTTTACAGCTATTGGGGCATTTGGAGTTTTTCCCCTTTTCTTTTTCTTTTTTTTCCAAACTAAAATAATTTCTTTCTCCCACAGGATTAGATTTCTTTCCTTTCTTATCAGGAGACAATCAGGTATGTTATATAAAAAAATTACTATTACTTTAATTATATATTTCAAATATTAACGTGTAACACATAGTCGGGAGAAAGAACAAATTTCTTTGGACAGTACAGAGTGAGCACACCCACTGTGGCTCTGAGGGTTTAAATGAAAAGCTGTAGTATTAGCAGTGCTGAGCGTGTGGCCAGAACAGTGTGTTGTTTGCTGGTTTCCAGTACTGTTCGATAAAGAATCAGGCAGTGGGTCATATTGACTCATAGGTTTCTTGGCCATATACCATGCTGTGCCTTGATTGAAATGCCATTCTGCCCCATGTATAATGGTGGTCTAAGATTATTGATAGAGCAGAAAGCTTTCTGTCACCTGACATTGCAGCTGTTGTAAGAATATGGTGCATCTTGCTCAGGTGTTTGTGCTGATGCTGATATAAACGAACCTGCTATGCTGCTGGTGGTATAAAAGTATGGTTATGTACTGGCCTGATGCTGATATAAACGAACCTGCTGTGCTGCTGGTGGTATAAAAGTATGGTTATGTACAGGCCTGAACACTTAAAATGTTAATAAATGACTGCTAAATTTTACTATAGAGTGATGTGCCGTGTTATATGGCAGCGACCCCTGCACCTCTCCATGGCAACATTTTCTCTGTACTTGATTTGATTTCATGTGGCTTTGTTCATCATGACCCTAAGTGTACAAAGTCCACTGCTAATGCTGAAGCCACGTCCAGTGATAACCTGGAGCATGAGGGTAGAAACCTGTGGTGGTTCCTGCTCGCCTGCCAGGCTCATCCCATCACCCAGAGCTGCAGACTTGAAGAACAAGACGAAAGCAGATGCTGTAAAGGGCCAGCTTCATTGAAGACAAGATGAACAAAAGACTGAGAAGGGCCTACATTGGACACGGAGAGACGCCTGAGGACCTGAAGGAAGGACCAGACACATGGGCACATCCCTGTCACACTTTGCAGAGAAGGCTGATGTGACCACAATGTGCAATCCCACTGCTGGCTCTGGCAGCATAACCAATGCAAGAATCCTTGTCTGTGGCTTCACACTGTGAGCCAGCATGAGGGCAGTGGAAGTGCTTTGGAAAGACTGTTGTGTGTGGAGGAAAGCCACTTACTGGAGCAGGTCTGCCGTGTGGACACAGGTGCCACAAAGGTCACCCATGGGGAGGCAAGCCACTGCTGGGGCTCAAGGGTCTTTAGGACAGGGTAGCCATCCCACTGGAGGCCCTGGAGCCCTTCCTGACCTGCACAGCGAGGGCCCAGCAGGCATTCTGTACACTCATACTGCCAGTGTGGTACAGGAGCAGCAGGACGCCATGACCCAGCTCCAACTCCAAGACGCCCTCCTGAGTGTGGTCCCAACAGAACAGAGAACTGTTTAGAGAATCACTTACCTTAAGAGACCTTACTGTTGATAAAGTGCCCACATGTCCTCTTTTTATTTGTGATCTCACCTCAATAGCAAAGTGATGTTTCTTCCTCCAAACACCACCTCCTTGAGCTAGTCAGTGGATCCATGAGTTACAGTGGCTTTTTAAATCGGCTACTCAAGGAAGACCTTTGTCCAGACTAGTGCTGCTACTGAGAAAGAGCCTGAGAAGACATGGACATGACCTGGAAGGAGGACGCCATCAAAAACCCTGCCTGGGCTTGGGCTCAGGCCACCAAGGAGTGTACAGATGGCATCTGGAAGAAGACGCTCGAGATTTGCCTGGGTTGCAAATAACTTGCTGAGGGTGGAGGCTTCAAAAGCCAATGAGGCTGTGGTTGAGATGGCAAACAGCTTTCACCTGGGTGTGGATGAGACTGACACTGAGGAGCTCTGCTAATGGATCCTGCGGAGTTGTTGGAATTACAGTGGGAGCATCACAGCTGGAGAAGAGGCAAGGGAAAGGAAACTGTAAGGAAGAAACAGAAGAAGCCCCAAGAGGGTGCCTGGTGAAGGGTTGAGCAGACCTCAGCAAGCTCCTTAAGACGTTTGAAAACATGGACCCAACGCCAAAAGGTTTGCATTAACAGAGGAGTGTTCATGGTGTACCATCTGTTGATAAGCAAATCTGTGATGAAAAGGGAAATTAAGCAAGCAAACACCATGGATGTCTGCAGAGACCTGCTCAGGAAGAGCCACAAGTGGGGCCTTGGGGGCCTGTGTCACAGGCTGTGACAGCTCTGTGTGACTTACCACCCAGTGGTATCAATGATCACCCTTTGTAGGCCTGGGTTCTTGTGCATTTGTCTTAGTTTTTAACCAAAAAGTTTAAAAAGCAAAAAATTTAAAAATTTTAAATCTTAATAAGGATATGAGAAAGGAAATACAGTTGTACAGTTTGTTTTGAGCTAAATATTATTACAAAGAGTCAAAAATTTTTAAATGTAAAAGCTTACGTCGTAAAAAAGTTACAGTAAGCTAAGGTTAATTTATTATTGAAGAAAGACTAGTGATCTAGTAGTCATTACATAAGATCATTTGGTTTTGCAGAATGCCTAAAGTATTTGATACCCAAAGGTGTTCAGGATGCAGGCACGTGCACCGTGAGTGTAACGAGCTTTGTCTGCTCTCCTCCCCAGCATTACAACACCTCCCTGCTTGCCGCGGCCGCGGCAGCTGTTTCTGATGACCAAGACCTCCTGCACTCGTCGCGGTTTTTCCCTTACACCTCCTCCCAGATGTTTCTCGACCAGCTAAGTGCAGGAGGCAGCACTTCCCTGCCAACCACCAATGGGAGCAGCAGTGGTAGCAACAGCAGCCTGGTGTCTTCCAACAGCCTGAGGGAGGGTCACAGCCATGCAGTGGCCAGCAGGAGCAGTGCTGACACAGCATCCATCTTCGGCATCATACCAGACATCATCTCCTTGGACTGACCCCTGCTCCCACCCAGTCCCAGATTAAATGAACTTGGCAGAAGGGAGAGAACTGTGTGCTCTGTTTTACCTTATTCTGTTTAGAGAAGTACACAGCGTGTGTTTTTTCCTTTTTTTAGGGAAAAAATTAAAAGAAATGTACAGAGAACAAAACTATATTTTCAGTTTTACTTTTGTATATAAATCTAAGACTGCCTGTCTGATAAAACACTTGTTTAAAAAAAAAAAGGAAAGAAAAGAAAAAACAAGCACCCACAAACCACCTTCAGTTCATTTTTTCTGGATTCTGAAGATTTTTCATCATTTCTCCTATGGTTTTGGTTTTATTTTACTTAAATGGCATTATTTTATTTGCAATAACAAAAGGAATTACATGCATGAAGTTTTAAGTTGTGGGCTTTGTTGTTGTTGTGGGGAGGGGGTTGGGGGATAGTTTGATCTCCATTTTTTAAAAACGGCAGACTTGGATTCTGTTGGTGTGTGTGCATATTTCATCAGCCTTAAGTTATAAATCTCACCTGTCCACTGCATTCCCTGTGTGTTTCCAGAACACAGCCTGTGGCTGTGTGTTCAGTATGTCTGTATGTATTTCCCATCACCACCTGTTCCTTCCCCTGAGTTTGCATTCAGTTACTATATCAGCCGCCTGCCTCTTTCAGAGTGCTTTGAAGGTCTTGAGCATCTTTATCAACTATCCCAGTTGCATGCTCGCCATCATTTATTGTTATTTTCTATTTACCCCCGAGAACATGTTTCAGCGATATTGTAGTAAAGCTCTCTGGGTAAGGAGTAGGCTTAGCAGGCCTGCGAATAAATACACTTTAGATCTTGATTCTAAACCTGGATTGCCAGTATTGTGTATTTAAGCAAATCTGTGAATACCTGCTTTTTTGGCCACAGGGTAATAAGTTTTCATACCAAAGTTGGATGTGAAAATACCTTCAAAAGCCTTGTTGGGTGTCTTGTGCAGCTGACAGAGGCAAGGTTATATCACCTCAGAAGAAAAGATAAGTCAGTTCTCCTAAAAATAAATTCTGTTTGGAAAATATGGGGCACCACACATGTGGATCTGTGGAAATCTATTGGATAAACACTTGAAATTCAAAATGTGTTTGAACATTAGCCATTTTTATTCCCTGGTTCTGAATGTACTTATTTTCCTGGCCTTCTTTATTTTTGCCTTCACCTTTTAATGACAAGCATGACATAGAAAAGTCATTTTTTTTTAAAGTCATGGATCAGTCTGATATACTCTTAAGAGTGGAACATGTAAATATATTGAAAACTGGTTTTCAGGAGATAAGGGTTGAAGGGAAGGAAAAGTGGTTTTATGTGTGTTCCAAAGTCCTCATCAGAGAAGATACAGTTTCTCGGGTGTGGAACATGTATTTCAGCTGATTGAGAGGTCAGGCTCAACAGAAAAGATAAAGAAGGGGCATAATGATTGCCAGTTTTCCAGACTGGATTTTATATTACAACTGCTAATGTTCTCAGAGTTGATGAAGGACCACCGTGGTGTATAATGTGTTGTTTTGCAGTGGTAACAAAATGACCTGCTTTAATCCAGGTAGAATTCAAGATGGCTGTGTCTTCAGTTGTATGATAAAGTTAATGGCTCACATGACCATGTGGCATCTAAAAAATAGTATGTTTTTACAGCATCTCTGCTACTAAATTGTTGACTTGAATTTTGAAAAAAAGTTGATGTTGATATGTATATGTGTGTGTGTACATATGTATTTATAAACAAGTGTGTATGAGTAACAAGTGAATTACATAGTCTTCCCTGCACATGTGTATCCCACACAGAAATGGCTGAATTATAGTCACAAAACAATTTGCAATAAAACAAAGCAAATTCATTGTCAGTTAAAACAAGAAAGAAGTTTTTACATAAATCTGGTGTATGGTAAACACTTTAAGAATTCTCATTTAGGCTAATTTCAAATAGCATCATAATTTGTCTAAATTTGAATTGGGGTAGAAATTACTAAAACTGTGGGGCATTGTTTCTGATTTTGTATTGCAATAGGAGACTTTTCAATTAATTCAAGTACCTAAAGTAAAATGAATAGTTTCTTTACTCCTGGGTTTTTTTTTTTTTTCCTCCTTTCTTGTTGTTGTCAGTGGTCTCAGAATTCTGCTCAGTACTGTGTGTTGATGCTGAATTACAAACTCTGAATGATCCAGTTGAAAACCCATCCCTTTGCTCTCTTCACTCAGTTTTAGAGGGAATTAGTTTCCTTCTGTGTCCTGCATTGAACCAACCTAAGGGAAGAGTAGGAAATAGAAATACCCATTTGTCTGTCTGGTGGCTTTGGTGGCTTTGGTCCTGTCCCCACAGGGCTGTTGTCTTTGTATTTTACTTCATTCCACTCTGGGGGGGCTTGCGTCCTTCCCATGTTGACTTTCTAAAGTGATGCATTAAGTGATGGTTATCATTGCTGGTCTCATGGTCAATATCAGTCACGGACTACATCCCTATCATCACTGAGTTTAAAAAATGTATGCTCTCTTCATCTCTTTTCACCTTGGCCACACTCATGCCCACCCATGCCAAGGTCGATGTGCTGTCTATGGACACTTGAGGTTCCTTCTTGGGATCCTGAGGCACGTCTGCCCAGGCCTGCCTTGGTCTTTGGTGATGGTGCATGCTTGTATTTCTGTGCGTGCTGTTTGTGTGTGCACATGTATGTACCTGGATGCACATATCCTTGATAAGATAGCTGTTTGGCCAGCAGGGTGAAGTGGCTTTTCATTACTACATGGGCATTATTGAAGACATCTTTAAGACACACTCTGAAACCCAGCCATGCCACGGTTGTTTAACTAATGTATTTTGAGCATTAAAATTTTTCTGTTATTAATTTACAAATCACAATTCCATGTTACAAGTTAAGATTTGTTTAAGTTTCTGAAAAATGTGATTTCGTGGCAGATTTTCCTTTGAGACAGTGTGTGACTTCAAATGAATATACATCCCAATTGCAAATCAATAAATGTGGAAAGAATGTTGTAAAACAATTTCAGTTTTAAATACATACAACTTTCAGGTTCTTCAGGACTTTCTTTCTAAAGCACATTTGAATTTATTTTAGTAAGAATTTTGTTTTATCAATACACGTTCAGTTCTGTTTTTTTTTTTTATTATTATTAAACACGAAGTTTAGATTTCAGAAAGAGGGGAAAGAATAGCTGGTGGTCCCAGAGCGTGCTGCTGTTTAATTAACAGAGGGGGAAATGTATATAAACAGATAAAAAAAGTTACCATAAATTCCATGAACTTAAATCTGTGATTCATTGCCTTAAAACTTTCTCTCCTAGAATTTCTGTACCGCATGCCAAACCAGTAAAATGGCTTCTGAAGATGTATACTAGACCAATGTCAGTTTGTATAAAAGTACCAAGTGAAATATTTATTACATGCATCGCAGAAGAACTGTTTACCTACTGAATGTTACCTGTTTATGTAGAGCTCTTTAGATGTAATAAAAGAAAAGCCTTCAGTTAATTTGTCTTCTGTAAAATAATGCCACTGGGTATACAGGGGGACAGTCCCCTTGAGAAAAGTGCTAATGCTTTGTGTTTCCACAGCCCCTTTCCTCCAGAGACTTCAAAGCATGACAAGTAACTGATGCTCTTGCAGCATGCTTTGAGGTAGGTAATATGCCGCCACATTTCCCTTTCTGATTGAAATAGGACTAGCTCTGTAGAGAGCCACAGTATCTGTTTGGTGGTTTAAAATCTATTTAATCTGCAGTTGGAGTGCTAAGAGCCCTGTGGCCTTTTTTTGTAAACAGCCCCAGGTGTTAGGTAAATCAACTGGAATTTCAGGAATGAGCATGAAGCCAGGATAGAGAAAGCTCTTGGGGTAGAGGTTTAAATCAGAACTCCAGCCACCAAGCACCCTTGATTAGGACTGGAGTCTGGGGAGAGAAGCCCAGGTTCTGCTAACCACCGCACGCTGGCTGTGTTTGGCAAGCTGAACTCGGGTTCCTGTTGGGCAAATGAAATTGACTGCACTTGCTTTAGAACCGTACAGGGCCAGTCAGTGGTACAGACATCAAGAAGTTGAGGGGAAGGCATGCTCACTTTTCCACAGCCAGAGCAGCAGCAGCAGCAGCAGCATCTCTCTTGCCAATTCCAGATTGGCTGACGGTGACTCAGTAAGAGGTGTGGGTCTGGCCTCTTTAATCCCAAAAGCAGCCTAGAAATTGTTTTTATTTTACTTTATTTGTTGTTGTTTTGAGACAGTGTCTCGCTATGTAGTCCAGGCTGGCCTTGAGCTCCCGATTCTCCTGCCTCAGCTTCCCAGGTGCTGGAACCTCAGGTTTGGCCACCGTGTGAGGCTTAGCTTTGTGTTAAAGAAGGCCTCAGACCCAGGGCAACCTGGATCTCCCCCTGTACTGTGCGAACCCCTGCCCCTGTCCCCAGCTGGGCGATCACAACTTCACCTAGCAGATGTTTGGGACCCAAAAAACTCTTCTGTGCACTCTTGGGACTGTCCTGCTCCCATCAAGTTGTACTGTTGAGAGTGTGGACGGTTGGGAAGCGGGCCCACATTTCTCAGGACCTGTTTGTCTGAAGCCATGTGGCATTGGTGACGTAGTTGAACTAAGACTGTGACTGTCCTGCAGTCCTCCCAGTGCCTGCTCTTAGTAACAGATTTGTGTCTCACAGAAGACATACCCCTTCTTAATAGGCTTTGCGTTAGCCAGTAAGGCACCATTAGACAAAGCTGTGGCTCAATGTTGGTAATAAAAGGATGAAAATCTTAGTATTTGAAGCTCTGCCCACCCTGCCCATGCTTGTGGCTCATTTCACAAGCACACAGCCTGGTGCTCCTGGCTGAGGAACACGCTTGGCCACTTGAGCCAGAAGGGCTCCCAGAAGGACTGGTCCCCACCACTGCTTTCCAGGACTTGTGTTCTGGTGTTGATTGGCACACACTCCTGTTTCTCTGTCTTAGACCTGGGGGAAGGCTCAAGGTTGTGATCCTGGGTCCCTCTGGCAGACCATCCTTGTTTCTGGAACCTCTGCCTCACAACAGATCCAGGGTATAGCTCCAGGTTCTGCAAGGAGCATCAGAAAGGGCTGCCTAGAGTGAAGGCCATGGCGCAGCCCTCTGGTTCCCGCTGGTCTGGGGTGTAAGGTTAGAGCCTTCCCACTACTCAGCTGGTGCTAGGTTCATTCTAGTATGGGTGTGTGTTCATTTAAACTCATGAGAGTGTCCCAAACTAGGACATGGGAATGAGAATTTCTAAGGGGGCCTAAGGTGCTGTGTGAACTGCTGTGGTGGTTTGTTTGCCCTTTGCACTGGCTTTACCTAGCAGGTATGGCAGGCAGTTCCAGCACCCCGCTATAGAGCACGGTCTTCTAGTAGACTGTTTTCCTAGGAGAAACACTACTGTGGCACTCGGGTTCCACACTGCCTCTACAGGTTGCCAAGCACTCTTTAAGTCACAATCTTCATCCTTAATGGATCATGGGGTAAGACGTGAGAATCCAGCCTTGGCAAGGAACTGGGGCTTTGTGAGGTACAGTGATCTCCTCAAAGTCATACAACCCTGAAGTGGCAGGGCCAGGACTGGAAGGCAGACCTGACTCCACACTGCAGAGGGCTGGACTAGGTTGTTACTACAGTCAGTACAGACCTTTCATAAAGACATGTCAATGCTATGGCTGAAACCATTTATTGCTAGTTACCCCCGGCTACAGCTGGGCAATGTCATCTTGCCACTGTGCTCACCATCTCCCTAGAGTGAAAAGCTCACTCATTTTTAAACATCTATTGGTCCAGGTTTTCAGGTGCATGGAGGCTGTCAGTCTGTTCGTCAGTAGTCCTGCACAGGAATGGTGATCTTCTGGATAAATTGGTCATACTTCACTTGGCCGTTTGGCTCAATATCTGCTTCCTTGAAAAGATCATCCACTGCAATAAATCACATTCATACCTCACTTTGCATTTGACGTCACAGGCATAGGACTCTTTGGAGGCTGGGGAATCGAGTAAACCAGAGAGCAGAAGGACATCCCTACCCCTACCCCTGGAGAGCACTGGTTCAATTTTCAGGCTTTCCGCAGAGGCCGGGGCGGGGGTGGGGGCACGGGCAGGGAAGTGTACTGGTGAGGATTCAGTCACTGAGTCCTTTCAAAGAAAGCTGACCTCTGTGCCCATATTTGGAGAAACCTTTGGCCTGGATGCTTCTCTTGCCACAGCCCCACCCTCCAGCCTCCCAGCAACATGGGTGTCCTCTGTGGTCCCTTCTCAGCCATGTGGCCCACCCCTGTATCCACACGGAGAGGACTTTGACAAACAGTATCTACCACCGTCAGCTCCCTGCACAAAACGTGGGGTCTGGTGTGTAGTTCAGAAGTAGTGCATGTGCCTTGCATCCTCACCCTCCTGCAAAAGCTATCCGCACCGCCCTGCATCCACTTCCTGGGCCCCAGCGCCTCCACACCTAATTCTGGGTGTGAGAAAACACCCTTTCATCCTCAAAGGAGAGGTGGCTGCTCATGCCTGAGCCTGTGGTAGTCATGGTAGTTCTGAGTAATTTGGACTGCTCCAGGAGACTGCCATTTATCTTCTTTTGTGGAAAGTGTCTACCCTTTGGCCAGTTGGTTGCTGTCCCAGTGGACAGGCCCAGTACCAGCATCAGTCTCCTGTCCAGAAGAGGTCAGCACCCCACTGCCCGGGGCTGCAGTCTGTCAGTGCCTCAGGACAGAATGGTGCCCACTGGGTCTCCCTGTCTCATTTTAACGACCCACAAAAATTGTGGTGCTGAAGTCACCCACTGGCAGCCTTCCCCACCCTGCAAGGCTGCTTCTGAGTAGGGTAGAACTGGATGTTTTCTTTCAACCCCCGCCCCCAAGGTAAAAGGTTCCTATTTCTGGTCTCCTGCCTCCCACAGCAAGCAAGAGAAACAGGTCTCCAGTAGGTTCTCTGAAATATTTTTTGGGTTTTTTTTTTTTTTTTTTTTGCTGTACTGGGGATTGAACCCAGAGCCTGTGCATGCTAGGCAAACACTCAACCACTGAGCTATATCCCCAGCTGAAATGGACTTTGCTAGCAAAACAAGTGAGAACAGTTGGAGGCCATGTGTTGCTGTGGACAGAGGTCACGGACCATGAAGTTTGGGCCCCTCTGCCCTGACTATTGATGCTCCAGCTGCACACAGAGGGCCAGCAGCATCCTGGGAGCCTGAGCAGCCACAGTGGCCTACATTTCCCCTATTCACATGGAAGCCAGCTCAAGAGAAAGTGATGAGTGCTATTTTTAACTGCTCTGCTCCGTGCTGGGCCTTTGTGAGGGCAGATAAGACCTCTCTTTATGCAATAGTAGCCCTCGAAGGGAAGAAATTGGGTAAGAAACCGTTTAAGGTCCTCAAGAAGTAGGGGGGGGGCCAAGATTCAAATCTGCTTCAAACCACAACCTGAAAATCCCACCAGTGGCCTGTTGGGATTGAGGCCTTCCTTCCCCTGTACCCTTGGGGCCAAGCCTGACTCTCCAGAACCCACCCCAGGCAAGCATGCAGCCTAACTGAAAATCCCAGCCCTGGGATCCATGGATGTGGACTTGGGGAAGACTGGGAATAGCAGCTGTGGCAAGGCCAGGGGCTGCCAGCACCAAGGGACACTACCAATGGCTAGCATGTACCACACACTATCCCAGAAGGTCCACGCCCTCATCCTGCTCTGAGGCAGGAGTGGGAGTCAGCACTGCTTCTCCAGCTGCCCCTGCGAAAGAACTCCCTTCTTAGAGCGACCTGGGCAGGGAGCATAGTGGCCATCAGAGCGAGCTGTGAGGTGCTGGAGAAAGATCAACAAGACCAGTACCCAGCTTAAGCCGTGCTGCTGGCTTCATCCATCCTCTGTGCGCTGGAGCTCTCAGGCTTCTAGGGCAACCTCTGCACAACCAAAGCCCCGCAGCAAGAGCCTGGCCACAGGGGTGTCCAGCCAGAGGCTCCACTGCCTGGGTTTTCCCAGGCTGGTCCTCCACCTTGGACCCTTCTTACCTCTTGCCCTTCTGGCTCTGTCCCCAGACCATGGTCCAGCCTGGTCTGACCTCTGCTTCCAGGCTTCTGGGCCTGGGGTCTGAATCACCCGAGGGGCATTGGCTGAGGTGTGGCACCCTCCCCATTCCCTAATCCTCTCCCGCTGGTGGGAGACAGGGCCAAGCGTTACCTTCCTTGTGGGTGAGCTTCTCCCCGAGTTTCATGAGTTTTGACCGCAGCTCAGATGCCATGATGTAACCTTTCTTCTCCTTGTCCGCCATCAACATGGCCAGAAGAATTTCTTTCTTTGGGTCCTCTTGTTTTATTTGTGTATGCATGATGGTCAGGAAGGTGGAGAAATCCAGCTCTCCACTTCTGTCTAGGAAACCCAAGCAGCAGTAAGCAGGGAGGAAAGGATCTTCCCGACCTTCACTGCTAGCTCCATTGCCCCGTGATGGTGCCAGTGGTCTTGGTGAAGAGGACACAGCCCCTCCTACTGAGTTCCCACCACAGGCTGCTCACTGGCTGGATGTTCTTCACTTCGTCCCCTTCTTTCCTACTAAGGGATGGAAGCTCGGAGTGTGGGTGGCACAGGACCAGTACAGAGCAGTACCAACTCTACTCCTTCCACCACTTAACCCTTGCCCTGAACTGAGGAAAGCAGGTCTCGGGGCCATACGTGGTGGCCTCCAGAGGACCTCTACAAGGATGGACAGATGACCTCACCTGGGCCTCAAGCCCCAGTCCCTCTGCTTTGCTGCTCAGCTACCTTTCCGCTCCCTGGAGCCTCCACTCCAAACTCCACCTGGTCCTTCTCCAAGCATGTCTGAGGGCCTCAGCCCATGCCCTGGCCACACAATGGCAGGAAACCAGAACCTCCCCTGACCACAACTTTCTGTTTAGAGGAAACAGAAGCCAAGGAAACCAGCAGCTGGAGAGGGGGGTCAGACCATGGCATGCCCATCCCTGGCCCTGGTGGGCTCCCAGCCTGCAGCAGGTGCCACTAATGTGACCTCTGTTCAGCCTAAAAGACAGTGGAAACTGACAGATGAGGAAACTGAAGCCCAGAGACTGACTTGGCCTCCTGGTCTTCAGGTCAAGTGCTCTTTCCAGGCCAGCCCTTCCCCTGGACCAGCCCCTTCTTCCTGAATGCCCAGTCCCCAGCCATGCTGGCCTCTGACTCCTCTCCCTGACTTTTTTTTTTTTTTTAAAACAAGCTACAAAGCTTGTTTGTTTCTGATTATAAAACCCTATATGTTCCTGTTGTTGAAAATACAGGGAACAATAATAAAAGAAAAAACAAAGTTACCCTTAATCCCACCAACAGAGAGAACTTCAGTATCGTTTTGGGTGGGTTTTCTAGCAAGATAACATAGTTTTCAGCTCAGTCTTTGAAATCGGAAGAACGGGGTTCCAATCCTGACCCACCATTGGCTCTGAACCTTCAGCTTTACCTGTAGAGAGCATCGGGGAGCAGCTTCACCCTGGCAGGATGGTTTGCGCTACATTTTCCCATTCAAAACACTGGGGCCGCTGTTAGCACTGCTTTCTACGGGTTGTGACAGACCTGGGGGTGCCCACACCTCTGCCCCTCAGGCCCCTGGGCTTTGCACAGAGGCACTGTCTGCTCCACCTGCTGGGCCCCTCCCCAGCCCACCAGCCCACTCACCTATCCTGTGAGTCTGCAGGTGCTGCTGCACCTCCCCTGGTGTTGGGCTGGTCCCCAGGCACCTCATGGCTACCAGGAGGTCAGTGGCCTTTATCTTCCCCCTCTGCTGCTTGTCGTAGAGAGAGAAGCATTCCTTGTACTCTGCGCACAGCCCAGAGAGAGAATCAGTCACATCTGCTCACTCTCCACCCTGCCCTCACCCCTGCGCACCTCATCTTCCTCATTTTTGGGGGTGCTGGGGACGGACTTGGGGCCCTGTGCATGTGAGGCAAGCTCTCTACCATTGAGCTGCACCCCCCAACTCTCCTATCCCTTGTCTTCCCCGTCCTCTGCCTCCACCCTCTCTTCCCCCCACACAAGGTTGCCAGATATAGTAAGTAAAAATACAAAACTGCCAAATTAAACTGAATTCAGAGAAATAGTGAATTAAACTTTAGTATAAGTATGTCCCAAATTTGCATGTGATATACTCACTTATTCAGTAAGTGTTCATCTGAAATTCAAATTTAACTGGGCGTCTGTGTTTATCTGGCAACACCACCCCCTCTTTTCCTTCGCTGTCCCCTCCCTTGCCTCTTCTCCTGCCTCCCATAACTGACTAGAACTCCACCCAAACCTCTCCTCCGTGGCCAGCCAGGGGAAGTGAGCCCACAGCAGGGTGGCCAGACTCCCAGGGCCCTTTTCAAACAACATACAGAGAAACACGCCTAGGATTACTGTGAGGAGAAGGGCTGGCAGCCAGCAGCTCTGTGTTGTGGTTTATTGTCATGGTCACAGCTGTGGGCACTTGTGAGTGCCTGGCCCACTTCGGGCCTCTCTTGGTCCCGTGTTTAAAGACTTCCCATGGAACTTGTGGGAAGTTTACCCAGGGCCTGCACAGAGAAGTTGTCAGCTTGCCAGCCTAGCTCCCTGTGTGCTTGTTTGGTGGAGATGAAATGGCAGCTCAGAGCCTCCTCTACCTGCACAGTCCCACCACAGAGCTGCACACCAGCTGCCAGACCCCAACTCTGCTGACAGATTCTCCCTCTGCCTTGGCCAAGCCCGCCATGGGAGCCCAGCCCTAGCCCAACCAGCCGGAATGCCAACTCTGTTCTCTCCCCTGCTCCTTGCTCTGCTGATGGGTCTCAGAGGCCAGCCGGGTTCTCTGGCTGACACAGAACAAGTTCTGAGCACTTCGCCCCAGGTTCTGTTTTATCCCCACAACCCTGTGATAGACACCGTTTTATTGCAGCTGTGAGGATGGGGCTGGGCCTAGCTGTGGGCAGCCTGGCTCCTGTAGTGCAGTTGTGCTCACCAGACCACACTGCTCTGTACCAGTGGAGTACTGTGGGGCAAGGAGGCAGAAGGAAGCCCCCAACTCCTTTAGTCCAGGCCAAGGCTCCTTCGTGTTCCCTAAATGAGGCCCTCAGGACTCTCTGGGAGCCTGATGGTTCAGGACTTCAGGATTAGATGAAGACAGAGTGCTAGGTGGGACTGGAGACAGAGGCCTCTGAAAATCTGTGCATACCCACCTTCCTCCAGAACTGCCCAGAGGTTGGTGGAGTGGCTCAAGTGGTGCAGTGCCTGCCTAGCAAGCCTGAGGCCCTGAGTTCAAACCCTAGTGCAATCCTCCTCCCGTCAATAAAGGCCAGAACTGCCCAGAGGCTGAGCCTCTGGAGAGGCAAACCATAAGTCCAGGTGGCAGGGGCTGGGTGGCGCTGGTAAAGCAGGGCAAAAGTCTGACCTAAGACCCCAGGTTTGGTTCCTTCCATGAGGATGAGTCATCACCTCACATGGAGGATAGAGGGAGCTTAAATTCAGTCCTCCACCCGGTGCCACTCCTGGGGACCTCTCACAGAACCCCTCCCCGTCTGGTTTGTCATGAGTGAAAGATGGGCCCAAGGCTCTCCCAAGACCTCCTCCTATGGCAGGTGTCCTCACATGTTTAAGGCTGGAAGATGTGGCCCAGGACAGACTGGCTCCAGGTAGCCCAGTGCATCCCTGGGTACATCAGTAACTGTGATGCAGGGCCTGGAGACCCTGACGCCAGAAGGGCGGGGCTCAAATGGAGTCCCTCCCCTCCCCCACCCCGTGGATCAGGAATGCTGTCTTCTGACGTCAACCTCTCCAAACCTGCAGAGTCGGGTTGGAACTTGGAATTACTGTGCAGGAACAAGACAACGGGACCTGGCGGGCAGCCCTGGCTCCCACTGGCCCCTCTCCACCCTCCTTGCTTTCCCTCCTCAGCCCCATGCTGTCTTACAAGTGAACTTTGCCAATCTTGTATTTGCCTCTAGCCTACAGTTTTGATTCAGCTATGAACTGATAACTTTACTCTCAAACCATGACTGTAATCCTAGCTACTTGGGAGGCTGAGATCAGAAGGATCACAGTTTGAAGCCAGCCTAGGCAAATAGTTTATGAGACCCCATCTCCAAAATGACCAGAGAAAAATGGACTGGCGGTGTGGCTCAAATGATAGAGCGCTTGCTTTGCAAGTATGGTGCCCTGAGTAGCTCAAAGCCCAGTACTGCCAAAAAGAAAAACGCAATTTTATTTTTAGTGAACTGGAATTGTATTGTCATGAAATCTAAAGAGTGGGCCACTGCACTGTTAACCTTTATTAAGCTATTTCTCACCCTGTTACAAATTCTATGCACAAAGCTGAGACTTCTTTCCAAACTTCAGCAGTACAGATGGCAACAGGGCAGCCTCAGCTTTCTGTACAGACTGGAACATTGTTTGCTCCTCCGTTGCTCAGTAATGGCTGCTTGCACAATTCCTAAAAATGTAGCTCTTGTACCCAGTGTCCAGAGGGTAAAGACATCCTCTCCTCTTCCCCTCGCTCATAGCAGCCCAGTGACATGGCACCATTCCTACTTCACAGATGGGAAAACTGAGGTACAGAGGTCAGGGGACCTCAGGTCACTGCCTCCAAATCCCTATTCTTCCCAGCATCGCTGGCCCATCTTCTGTTCCTTAAACCTGGGTGGCCACTTTCTTGGTGCCAGACACTGGGATACAAAGAGAAATTACCTTTAGGGAGCCTCAGAAGCTGCAGGAAGGAGGCCACTGAGCCTCATGTACAGCGTGGGTGGGCGAGTCACCTCTGGATCTGGGCAGGAGTGGCCCTGCCCTGAACCCAGTGCTTTAAAGTCCCCTGGCCTGCTGCCTCTAGTCTTGGCTCTGTTTTGGAGTAACAAGTCAAAGGGCCCGTGGGGAGGTGACCCAGAGCCAGTGAAGGGCCTGGTGTGGCGCTGCCTTGGCTCTCAAGGGCCCCATGGTCCCCAGGTGACCACAGTTTTATCTCAGTGATCAGAGAGGGGCTCACTGACAAGGTGACATTTCAGCAGTGATGTGGAGGAATGGACAACTGGGTGCCACTGTCCACTGCTGGGCAGTCTGAAGCCATGGAGCTGCAGCCACCAGGTTCCCTGGCCAGGTCCGGACCTGAATCTGTGTAACCCAACTCTCTTCCTGGCCAGTGGAAACAGCTTGACGTTGCAGAAACTGAAGGACACAGGGAACAATGCCAAACTACAGAGGGGACCCCAGCTGCCCCTATCTGAAGCCCAGAGAAAGTACCTGCCTGTGGATGCAGACCCAGGCTCTTTCCTGTTTCTCTGCCAGCTACAAAGCCCCTCCCTTCCCCTACCTTCAGCCATGTCAATGGCTTCTCTCCAGCCCTGGCCTCCTCTGGCCCAGGTCCAACCACCAGGCTTTGGAGGGAACCCTCCCCAGCTCTCTTCTAAGATGGGGCTTGAAGACCACACTGACAATATGGAGCCAGCAGTCTCACCTGGGAGGCTTGCCCCTCCGCGGGGAGAGGAAGGGGTCCTGCTGAAGCCGGCCCCAAGTGAGTGCTGGGAAGGCCAGCATCCCCACCCCCACACTTCCTCCACCAACGGAAAAGCAGCACAGCAGACTAATGAGACCCATATTTTGCTGGGAGTGGCTAATTAAAGAGCAAATGGCCACCTACCATTAATCTGGTCCTGGGAAAAAAACTTGGCCTGCAGTAGAGAGAGGACAGTCAGGGAAGGACTTCAGCACAGGACCTCCCCACCCAGGGACAGGGCCCTCACTCACCATAGTGGGGCTCTGTGGCCGTTCACAGAACACAGTGACGCTAGGTTCCCTTTCCTCCAGCCTCAAGTCCCAAGTCCTGCCAGCTAGGTGGAGGCCCCGGTAATAAATCCACAGCTGCCATGGAGACCGGGCCTGACGCCATCCCCAGGGGTCAGATTCCAGCTTCCATGCATAGCAGACGCCCCTGGGCGGGCAGGTGGATTTTGCCGTAATGCAGAAAGGCTGTCCCAGGACCAACGGTCCTTCCTGGGAGCATGGCCGCTTAAGAAAAAGCCCATGCAGCACAGAAAGGGGGTCCAGCCCTAGGGACGGCCTCCATCTCTCTCTGGGCTCAGCTGGAACCCTGACAAGCTCATTGCTGGAGTTGGGCACTATAAGGCCGGTCACCTGAGCTATTCATGACAGCTCAGCGATGCCTCAGGAGACATGGGTTTTGGTGCTCTGGGGCTGAGATTAAAAACCCTCCCCTCCTGCTGACCTGTCACTTTACCCTGCTATGCCTCAGTCCCTCGTCAGGCCACATGACAACTGCTGAGAGAATGAAGTAGTCCGCACACAGCCTCCTTCTGCGGGTAAGGGTGGCAGGCCTGCAGCCCCAAGTCAGCTACTCAGGATGACTTTCCCTGGCCTGGCCAGAGGCTTCTCCACCTTTTCCCCTCCATGCCCCACAGCCCTTCAGCCCAGGCTGGACTCCCATACCCTCACCATGATGTGTGAGGGACCAGGCACGACAGAGGCCCTTTTTGTCATCCACAGCCTTCAACCAAGATTATCAGGCTGCACAGGTTGCGCCCTGCACCAGAGGACATGGGGGCTAGCGGCAGAGCCCTCGCTAGTTTGTACCAGGGCTCCAGGACCCATGGGACCCCCTCCTGTCCTGACCAGTTCCATGTAGAAAGTCTTCTCTCCCCTAAATCATGTCCTGAGTCCCCTCTTCCTAGGTTCCCAAACTGGAGATCTCCATGAGGACTGTGCCCTCAGCAGGGGACGCTGCTGGGTGTGGCCTGAGAAGTGAGGGTCGAAGGCAGGAGGCACTTCTTGGGGTGCAGGCCATGTCTGCTAGGGTGCACTGTGTACCCCAACACTCTGCCTTGCATGTAGAGGTGATGCCAATGGTGCCTCAAATGTCTGGTGACCACAAACACCTGCACTGGGGTGATGTCCACAGACTCCCCACCCTACTGCCCCCTGTGCATGCTGCCCCTCCATGCAGTGCTCCCCAGCACCACTTGGGGGTTGTTTGCACTCTTTATTCTTGATCCCCGGGCCCCTCGCCTGGCCACCACCACGACTCCTCTGGGTCTCTTTCCTCCTGCACCATTGGACCCCCAGTGGAGGGCTCCAGAGGCAGGGAAGCTCCTGCTCCACCCCCACCCAGGCCACCGTGCACGAGATTCCCAAGCAGAGCCCTGGTCCCCATGTCTTGGAAAGGCTTCCATAGGAAGAGCGCTAGGCTCCCGCTATCCCCAGAGATTCAGACCACGGTCATCTGCTCGCCACCACCTGTGCTGTGTTCCTGAGCCTGGCTCTCCCCATAAGCGGCCCCTCCACAATAAGACACAATAAGCATGACAGAGGAGTCTGAGTCTTGCCAGGCTCAGTGCTTGCTGGGTGAAGGAGCAGAGTTGGCCCTCAGAGATCTTTGCTCCCTCCTGTGGAAGCAATTTGCAGATGTAATTAGAAGAGTTCACCCTGGAGCATGTGGTCCTAACCAGGAAGGGTTCTGACAGAGGCACACAGGGAGAGGCCATGTGCCCACCACACAAGCAGGGAACCCCAGGATTCTGCTTCACACTGGCTGGACGATGGAGGAGGCAGAAGAGCCTCCCGGAGCCCTGCCACCACCTTGATTTTGGACCTGAGATAAACTGTTATTTTTGGCGGCACTGGGGCTTGAACTCAGGGCCTCCTCATGCAGGCGCCCTACCACTTGAGGCACTCCACCAGCCTTTTTTTGTGGTAAGTTTTCTGAAATAGGGTCTCATGAACTGTTTGCCCAGGCTGGCTTTGAACCACAACCCTCCTGATCTCTGCCTCCCAAATAGCTAGGATTATAGGCGTGAGCCACTGGTGCCAGGCACTTCTGTTGGTTTAATCCACCAAGCTTGTGGCACTTTGTTTTTGCAGCCCCGGCAAACTTACCTAGGGCCCAAACTTGCCCCTGGGTTCGCTGGGCACCGAGGTGCTGGTTTTCTGGGAAGATGAAGCCACGGTGCAGTGAAGATGGCTTCCCAGCAAACTGCCCGAGACCCTGGTCACAAGAGACATGGGTCTCTGAGGCTCCTATCACTTGATTTCCTTCCTTTCCTGAGTATTCACTTTCATGCCTAATGTTTCATTCACTTTTTAAAAACTGTTGTCTTACCCAAAACGTACAATGCTCAGGCCCACAAACTAGGCCTGTAGTATCTGTTAAGACTTCAGGGTCTTGAGGGAGGGGAAGCAAGAGTGCTGGTGAGACAAAGATGAGCTGCTCTTGCTCCCTTCCTCTGTGGTTTCTGGGAACAGCCCCAGAAAGGCTTTGTGGCTGTAATGAGACCAAAAGGGCAGCACAGCTGAGAGGCCAGGACATCCATAGCTGGGCCACCCCTGGGGTCAGGCCTTAGAGGTCTTCTTCTGCCCTGTGCTCCCAGCCTCTAAGAGCTGGAGTGACCATGACGAAGAGGCCCCCTTCTTGCCCCCACCCCTAGGAAGTGCCCCTTAGATGCCTGGCAAATGGCCTCCAGGGTCAATGGGCAGACAAGGCTGAGTGGGCCACTGGAGTCTGCCCAGGGTTCTGCTAGAGGGGGCTTCGCCCCAAATGGGGCCCCAGACCAGTTAAGTCCCTCCCTGTTCCAGGACTCCCTCCTGCCTCCCCACTTCACATCCAATGTCAGAAATAGCCAATTAGGCTGGGCTACACACACACCAGCCTTTATTCCCACTTCTTACCACCCAAGGCTGCCAGCACTGGGCCTGACCCACGGAGGGACCCATGGGAGGAGAACCTGAGTCTGGGGCTCCCTGAGGGCACAAGGAGGCAGGGCAGGGGCAAAGCAGGGCAGCCCAGACCCACAGCACACACAGCCAGGTCTGGCTGGAGAAGGATGCAGTTCTTGGCCCTGTGAGGAGGGAGTAAGTTTGCTGTGCTTACAGAGGGGCCTCCCGTTCTGGGAGCAGGGCCCCTGGCAGAAGGTAAGAGATGCAGGTGAGAAAGGGTAGCTGGACAACCTTGAGGTGTCCCCATCAGGGAAAAGGGCAAGGGCTTAACTCTGCCTTCCATGCAGCTCCACACCACATGGCAGGCTGACACTGAGCTACCGCTGAGGGAGGACAAGACAGTGGAGGGACAGCATTGTGGGCCCCCATGCTCGGGCTGGCACAGCTGGGGAAGCGAGGCCTGTGGTGCCCTGGGGTGTGGGTGACTCAACACCATGAGCAGTTTGAAGCGAGGGTCTGGGGTGCACACAGCCTTCCCAGGCTGGGAAGCCTGAACCACTTGTCTGTGTTAAGGCTGCCCCAAGGGGGTCAGGAACCCAGCCCACTGAGCCACTTTGGGACCACGACTCACTGAGTATGAACGAGCCCTGAGAGGAGACAAGTTTAGCTTCACAATACAGAGAAGGTTGACAGAACCCAGGAACCTGGTGTCCAGGGCCAGGCAGCTGAAGGCCAGCCAAGTAGTACACCAAGTCCCCTCATACATGGCCATCAGATATCCTAGGAAGGTCAGCCCAGCCCGGAGGCACGGAGTGCTCAACTGCAGTCAGAGGCAGAGGGCAGGGCCCCAATCTTGACCTGGACACATTTCCCCAAACTGAATTCCATCCTGAAAAGATCCAAACCAGAGACTTGACCAAAACAGGTGCGTCTTCAACAATGTAATCTGCACACATACACCGGCCCACGTGCAAACACACGGCTGCCAGGTTCTTACACTGCACACCCGCACACTCGTGCTCAGATACCCCAGGGCCCACCCGCCTCCCCAGGTGCAGTAGTGGCCCGTACCGGGGACTCAGTGCCGACTGCTGACGTGGAGAGTGTAGAAGGCCCAGGGCTCAGGAACGTAGATGACCCCTGGGTACTTCTTCCTGAGTACAGGGTCGTTCCAAAGCCAGGCCACCCAGAGCGCCACCAGTGAGAGGGTGAGGGCAAAGGAGCAGAGTAGGAAGAGGCCGTTGCTGTCCAGGAAGAGGCACCTGTGCTTCTGGTGCAGGACGAGGGCCAGCATGGCGAAGAAGGTGAAGATGAAGAGGATGAAGATCTGGCCTTCGGCCACCAGGTACCTGGAGAGGCAGGGCAGGTGTGATGATGTCCCTCCCCGGACCTGGTCCCATCAGCAAGAATCGCCGGCCACTCCTGCACAGCCCACTGGCAGTATACTGCGTTGGCTTAACGTATTTGAAGTTTTTCAGTCTGTTGCCAATACTTATGTTTTGGGCACTGGGGATTGAACCCAGGGCCTCGAGCACGCTGTGCAAATGCTCTTCCACTCGAGCCATGCCCCCATCCCTTTCCATTTGTATTTTGGTTTTGAGATAAGGGGCTGGTCTCAAATTCCTCCTGGACACAGCTGGGGTTACAGGTGTGTTGTCAAGAAGATTACCAACTTGTTGCCAATACTTAAGTAACAATATTTAAAGAACAGAATATCTAAAAGTGTGGCTTTCTTGCTTCCCTGATCACATCAGAAACTGACCAGAGGAGAAAGCAGCAACCCGCTTTAAAGCATTTGACACTTGGCCCCAGCACCCACCATTCCCTATGGCCTCCTCTGCTTGATGTGTGTTACCTGCTTGGTTTCTGAAGGCATTTGAGTTTGGGAATGCAGCTGCAGCTTACCGAGGTTGTCATTACTGACCCTTGGAGGCCAGGGCATGGTCAGATCTCCCAGAGACCCTCAGGCACCCCTGGTGTCCACGGGCCTGGAGGGTTTCTAAGGCTATCTACTCATTTCTCCGCCACCAGGGGGAGCCGTAGTGCCGACCCATCCACACACGGAACTCCAGCTCTGCAACTCAGTAGCTGGTGACCTTGGGGAACTGTGACTTCTCAGCCTGTTCTCTTGGGCTCTCAACCGTGGGACTGTCCAGCACTACGCTGAGATCTGTAGCAAGCTCTCGCCCAGCTCTCGGGCCCAGGGAAGGAGACACCTTTTCACGTGGAGAGGGCTTCCCATCAACCCATCAAAGAGGGACTCCGTTCTACCCAGGCCTTCCTGCAATGTCCACAATCCCCCGTCTGTCTCAGCAGAAGTGACAGTGGGTAAGAGCCTGGCTGGGGCCTGGAGCCTCCATAATGGTGACAGGGAACTGGAGGGGAGAAAGGACCAGGTGAGTGGTCCTGAGGTCGTGGACTCCTAGTTTATCCTCATCACCTCCATTCCTTTAGAGTTTACAAAGCCCCTTCTCCCTGGACCCCCACCATGTCCAGAAGGAGACAGGCAGGATTCCACAGAGGGGGAAACTGAGGCCTGGGGCTCCACAGGACTTGGAGTTGAAGTTGGACTCTTGGCCCCGTGGTGGGGACACAGAGAGGTGGGACATGAGGCCAGAAACTGTGCAACTTCATCCTCTCCCACCTCCACGCCATCTTAGACTTGTAGATGCCACCACAAGGCACGGCCATGGTCAACACTAGACCCAGGAGGAAGCAGGGGCCTGGAGAGGGCCACGGGCAGGTCTGCCGTCCCGTGGAGGCTCACTAAGTGCCTGTGTCCTGCCACACCCCAGGGACAGTGTCACTCACCAGTAGTATAGGCCACTGGGCACCAGGAGGAGCAGGGCGGGCCCAGGCATGGAGCTCTGGGCTTTGGAGGCCGTGAAACATCCGCTGAAGTACATGAAGAGGATGAGGAAGAAGGGGATGTACCTGTGACAGGAAGGCCACACTTCAGAAGCCTGCCTGCAGCTCTGGCCACCGGCTTCCACCATCTTTCCACCAGGAGCTGGCACTTCACTTCATGGTTTACACAGCACCTGCCTTGGGTGAGGTGTGCTCCTCTCCACCCAACATTTCCCAAGACAGGAACAGGAACAGAAACAAGGTGAGGCCCATAAAGCAGATGCCCCAGGCTCCACACTACCCTGGACCCTGGCAGCCCCAGGCCCACATTGGACTGTAAATAGGGGTACCCAACAGGGCTAGGGATGGGAAAAGTACACTGCAAAGGGCCTCCAAGGAACCCTGTTCAGTCTCCCACCCACACTCAACCACAGCCGCCATCTCATCCAAAAGTACAGCCCCACTTCCCCCACCCCCACACACACAGGGCCCCCTTTCTCCTATGCTCTCCATCTCTGTCTGTCTCACTCTCTCTCTCCCTATCGCCCAATCCACTCCCCCACCCTGTTTTGTTAGTTCCCAGGCCTGTGCATCTGCCCTCTCCCTTCCCAACCTTCCACGAAAAGGCCTTCCAGCAAGGCAGGAGAGATGGCAGGAGGCCTGTCCATTCTGTGCCCTGAAACAGACCCCACAAACACCGCAGCAGATCCAGGGCTGGCTTGCCACTTCCTAGCTGCCAGCTTCTCACCTCCTCCCTCTGGCCTGCTTATTCTGTGTAGGATGGAGGCTCTGGATCTCCTAAGGCAGAGCCCACATTTCTGAGGTTTCTTTCTGACTGGTAAAGGAGTGGAGGAGAGCCTGGCAGTTCTGAGGCAGGGGAGCACAAGATGAACCCCCTAACCTGGTCATGCTGGTTCTTCTCAGCTTCCTACATTCCGTAACACCTTCCTCTCCTCACCACCCTCACCACTCCGTCACCATCTGGAGTTGTTTATCAGGGCTTCATCCTTTCCACCCATGCGCCAGCCTTAGCCTGGGTGGGACAACAGCTGCTCATTGCCCTCTAGTGGTGGCCACAAGCACTGCAGCCTGAAAGGAGGAATTATGGGAGGGAGGAGGCTAGGAACCCAGGGCCAGGGCCAGTGGCTAGGTCTCCCTGGCAGGTTCACCAGGGTCACCACTCACAGTACCCTCTCAAGGAAACAGAACACCATTCCAGCCGCTCCACTGCACACACGGAGAGCTGGTCCCCAAAGAGCCTTGCCAGGGCTGTGGGACAGACAGAGTGGCCTTTGACTCACCACAGGCAATGACCCAGGTACTCGTCGTAATAGTACAGCAGCTCAAAGGAGTCAATCTGGGAAGGCAGAGCAGCGTCAGGGGGCCGCGCTTCATAGGGGACCTGGGCACACCTGCCCACCCCGATCCCCTCAGCCTCCCCTCACCGCCCAGACCTTGCCCTCTACCACAGGGGTCAGGGGCCCAGATGCTGTGACACTTTCTGATAATCCTTGGGCATCCTAGGGATGGGTACCCTCACCTAGCCACATGCCTTCAACAAAAGGTCAGGCGTGGTGACGGGCAGGGACAACTTCTGTAGCCCACAGGACAGGGCTCAGGGCGTCCATGGGGAGCGGGAGGCAGCCTCACCAGTGTCTCTGGCTTGAGGTTCTTGATGATGGGGTTCTCCCGGACGGACAGGTGGTGCTGGTAGCCACTGAAGATCAGGCGGTGGTTGACGGAGTCACCCACCAGGTGGATGCTGGCACCCATGATGAAGGTGATGATGCTGACGTAGACCATGGAGCGAGGCAGGGTGCGGGGGGACCGCTCGATGAGCTGAGGTTCGGAACAAGGCCCACAGCATGACACTCTTTGTCTCTTTGTCTCCCTCCCTCTGGAAGCAGGAGGTCCCTCAGCAGCACAGCCCAGCTCCCCCTGCTCACGGGACCCCACGAACCCAGGCAGGGCCTCAGAACAACGCCTCTCCGCCACAATCCACATCCCAGGGAAGATCAGACTTGGGGACCGGCTCACTGCCCATGGTTACACACAAGCAGGCCTTCAAAACAGGAGGCCAGGCCAGGCCCGGCCCTCCACCCTATCTGTGCCCTGGTTGGCTGCACCAGTCTGCTCAAGGGACCTGGGAAGAACATGCTGGGGAGTCAGGAAGGTGGGCAGGTGTTCTAGCTCTTTCTGAGATTATACCCCTCCTATTTTCACCCACCATATCCATGCATTCTGCATCTACAGATGGAACCAACCATGGATCAGAGAGATTTGAAAGAAATTGTGTCTGTACTGACTTGTCTTGTGGCTACTCCGTAAATGATACAGTGCAACAAGCACTGACACAGCACTGAGTTAAGTCATTTAAAGATTAACTTTACAGGTTCTCCACACCAGAGGTGGGGTTCAGACTCCACGACTGCCCTTTCTGTCCCCACACACCCCAATCAGTCCCACTCCATAGCTGTGATTGAGTGTGACAGAGGGACAGATCAAGGGCTGGGGTTAGGGGAAGATGGAGATGGGCCCCACCTCCCCAGTAGGGGCCCCAGCTGAGATGGGAGAGAGGTTCAGGCAGAAGGACCTACATACAAGGCTGTGCTTGGGAAACCATCTGGGGAGGCTAAGGCAGGAGTGCCTGGGCCTGAGGGGAGGCCAAGAGGGAGGCCAGCAGGGGAGAAGGGCCACACGGTACCTTCAGCAGGAGAAAGGGCGTGATGACGTTGTAGGCCATGTGGAAGTAGTCCCCAACGCTGGGCTTGTTGAGAGGGAACCACTCAAGAGGGAACACCAGCTGGGGGGCAGGCAGGGGAGAGACATGCTCAAGCAGGCCCTCAGGCCTTGGGGCCAGCCCTCCTGTAAAGTGATCTCTAGGGATCTTCTTTGGCAGCCTGGGGACAAGAGGACTTCCAGAGAGGGAAACTGAGTCTCACAGTAGACATAAATTTAGGCCTGCCCTGGCCTAAATTTTGTTTGGAGCCGAAAGGCTCCTCTGTGACTTGGCTGTACTGTACCACCAACTTGCTGGTAGGACTTGTTGAAAACCTTCTCTGTGCCTCAGTTTCCCCAACTGGTGTCCATGTGGTCTACCTGACTCCTCAGTGCCCCTGTACAATGAGGTGCCCTGACCATGAGGCCAACATGGGAAACGACCCTGTCCACTGAGCGCGGCTTCCAAATCAGGGCAGAGCAGGCATTAGGCCACCAAGTAGAACAAAAATACGATGGAAAAGGTGGCTCAATTCTCCCTTCTCTACTTTCCTCAGAGAGGAGGTGGGCCAGGGGCTCCTCCATGTGGACGGTCCTCTGTCCTCCTCCTGGTCCCCCGAGTCCTGGCCTTGTCAGGGCAGCACAAAAGCTACTAATGCAAGGTCAAACACCTCACAACCACAAAACTGCACTCAAGAACATCTGTTGACTGACAATGTGTAATGACCAAAAGTTTCAATCAAAGGTTTCAGCGTTTCTTTCTTTTAACTCAGAAATTGAATAAAGCTAGCCTTCCCAGGGCACTGGCCTCTCAATCTCAATCTCTCGCCCCTTTCTCAGTCTCAGTGTGTTTGTGTGTGTATATCTACAGATATCAAGAGGTACATGCTACTGAAATATGTTTTGTGATACCAAAATACCAGAAATAGCTGACTCTTCAACTAAATAGGCTAGGTGAATACATCATAGGACATTTTTACTATGGGAAGTTTAGAGCTGGTGGAATGACTCAAATGGTAAGAGTAGCTGCCTAGCAAGCATGAGGCCCTGAGTTCAAACCCCAGTGCTGCCCCCTACCCCAAAAAAGTGAAAAACAATCAAATTGCAGAATAAGGGAGGGGGGGTAAACAAGAATATAACAGAGGGGGTGAATTTGCTCAAAGAGCACGGTATGCATGAATTATCACAGAGAAATTCCCTCATATTATTATGTATGCTAATTCAAAAATAAAAATTAAAAAATTTTCATTTTGGTAAGGAAAAAAAAGGATGCATATGCATGGTTGTGTGAGCAGAGAATGGAGCAGAAGGCTGTACCCCAAACTGTCAGGGGAGAGACTGGAAAGACATATGGAGTCTAATATTTCTTTATAACGTCTACATGGTACTTCTACAGCTTATAAACATTTTTATGTCTAGTTATTACAAAACTAGAACTATTATGTGTACTTCTGAAAAGCTCCAGTGTACACGTAAGCTTTTCAAATGTACACTCACTGAACAAGCCCCACTTAGGGCTACAGTGACCACAGCAACCCTGGGTAGCAGTGGGGACCCTGAGAGGCCAGCTGAAGCTGAGTCCTGGTGAAAGAGGAACCACAGGTTCTGGCCTCTTCTCTTCCCCTCCAGAAACAGCAGTTCTGCCCCCAAAATGTGGGACCTTCACGCTGGAGGAGGGCTAAGTGAAGCCAGACAAATAATCTTAAGAGATGAAAGAAGCCCCCCCAAGGAACAGTGACCAGGTGTACAAGGTCACCAAACCCTGACCAGATGACCAACTCCTGGCTCAAATCCTCTTCATTTCCACATATAAAAACCTGATGAAAAGTCTGCTACAGGGAGAACCAGCATCGCCATCCTCCTGCCACACTGCAGGGACACCTGGTCCCATGCACCAATTGTCACTGACCTGCGATAACTAGTACGCATGGCATTTACACACTTTTTCTCTCCTTCAATCTGGAGTATCCCAGATTCTGACTAATAGCAAGGCAGCACTGTCTGTACTGGAGCAGTAAAATGGCCTTCTGCTGGACTGCACAGTCCCTCCGAGTCTCGGCTGTTATGACATGCCACCATGGTGCATTCAGAGAAGCTGCTCTTTTCTTGCTGACTACGTCATCAGGGAACTCTGAGAAGGGGTGTGAGGACTTCAGGAGGGTGCACATATTGGGGCTCTGCCTAGACATCAAACAGCTGAACCACGCTGGGAAGGAGCGGGAATCTAGGCCAAAGGCTAGCCCCTCTGCTTGCTAGTTTGGTGACCCTGAGCCAGACTTCCATCCTCAAGTTTCCTCATCAAATTGGGGTTAATGATGACAGTGTTAATATGAGGATTAATAAATTTAAATATGTGTGCTACAAGCGTGGCTCAGGCGGTAGAAAGCCTGCCTTGGAAGCACAAGGCCCTACATTCAAAACCCTAGTACTGCCAAACAAATAAATGAATAAACTTAAACACATAAAAACTTAGAATAGCGTAAGTACTCAATGTATGTGCACTGCTATTTCCACCTTACTGTTATCATTCAGTAAAAACATAAGGAGCACTTCCAGTGTCAGACGCCATTGTAGGGACCAGTCAGTTACAACATCACCAAACTGTTTTCCAAGAGGACTCTGCTGCTTTACCATAAGCACCTAAGGGACGCCTGTGATGGCATCAGCTATTATTTTTACAGTCCACTCACAAAAAGTGACAATTAGGTGTTTGGTAGCACCTCATTATTTCCATTCTCTTTATCTACCATCTATCTATTTATACCTATCTATCATTTACCAATCATCTCTATAGCTACCTCCCTGAGGGTCTCTTCCAGGACTAACCTCTTCTGTGCACCCATGAAAGAGCCCTGGAGAGAAGGGGATGGTTTCACCAGATGGCAACTAAAAATTACTTACACTCAGTCATTTATAATATGCAAAAGTAGCCTATCTGCTTCATCTGTAGAAAAGTGACAACATCCCAAAACTATCGGGAAGGACAGCAGACACTCTGCTTCCTTTCTCTGGCTCAATGATTTAGTTAAATGTGGTTCACCTGCTTCAGGATGTGGGCTACAGCGAGGACAGGATGACTCTGCAGGGCCACCAACTCCCTTGACAGTTGGGGCACACGATGAGTACGGACCCCTCACTTGCTGCAGGTTACCAGTCTGGCACGCACACAGCTAACGAAATGTGAAGGCATAGAGAGCTGAGCTCCTCTTGGTTTACTGGAAGAATGACTTGTCTATGGTCACACAAGTCACATTGAGTCTCCTCAGTGTTGGTCATGGCTCTGTCACAGCTTCACACTCACCATGGCGATGGGGCGGCCAAAGTCCAGAACCCAGTTCTGCAGCGTGAAGTAGAACCAGAGGTCGAAGTGGAAGGGAGCCGAGCAGTCAGCCTCATCAGCCTTGCCAGAGCCATGCCTAAGGAAGGAACAAGCCAGGGGTCAGCTCTTCTCTCCTCCCCACACTGGAACCTTTCCTGGAGGTGAGCCACAAAGAGGTATGGGGACTTGAAGGCAGGGAGACAGGCAACTGAGGCCTAGGCCATTGGGGAAGCCCGGTCTTGCAGTCCAGGGGACAAAGGACTTCAGTTGCTCTGACTGCAGCTTCCCTGTGATTCAGGAAGTAAACTGTCAAACAGCTATAGTAACTGTTGTGCTTTCTCCCCTATAAAATGATGGGGAAATAAAACCAGGCAAAGGAGGCAAACATGGCTGAAAACAAGCAACACTGTGGTGGAATGACACTGGACAACTGAGCACTTACTGCCCTCCAGGCACTACTGTTATCTGCTTACAAGTATGACGGCATTACATGCATTCAAAATTCCTTTGTACTGTTGGGAGTTGGAACTCAGTACTTTGTGCACACTAAACACACTCTTACCACTGAGCTACACCCCAAGGCCTCACTTAATTCCTTCAATCTGCACAGAAACCCTTTGAGATTAGAGTATCATCCCCACTTATAAGTGAATAAACAAGCCCAAGAGGCTAAGTCACTTGTTCCAGGCCACACAGCTAAGGACTTGAACCAAAATGATTGGGCTCCAGAGCTTACACTGGTCCACGGGGTGGGCACAAGGCCTAAGCTAGACCAATTAGAGCCCTCCAACTAGATTTGCCTTAGAGGTAGTGGAAGGGACAGGACCTCTTGCCTCTTGGTTCCTGGACTTTAAGGAGGTAAGCATAGGGCTGCTGGAATTCCTCTTCTTACCAACCCACAGTGAAACACCGAAGGAAGCCAGCAAGGACGAGTTGATGGGAGAGGGAGCAGGGAGCAAGACATGTAGTACCACCTGACATGTCTGTGATGGCTAATCTTATCAGCTTGAGGAGATGCCTAAAAGAGTAGTAGAAAAGCCCACTTCTGCATGTGTCTGTGAGGATGTCTCAGAGATCATCAGCATGTAGGATGGTAACTGAGGAAAACACCTGCTCTGAATGTAGGCAGCACCATCCAAAAGACTGGGGGCCTGGGTGGAATACAAGGTGAAAGAAGTAAGTCAGCCTGAGCAGGCAAGCTCCATTCTTGCTGAGCAAGATGCAGCCACTGTTGCCTTAGTCACTCACAGACATCAGACTCCATCTTCTTCAGCCTTTCAACATGGACTCATCCCAGTGACTCTCCATGGAGTTTCCAGGCCTTCAGTCTTAGACTGGGACTGCATTGTTGGCCCCTGAGGTTCTGAGGCTCCCAGCATCTTGGACTGAACAGCTACTGGGTCCTCTGGCTCTCCAGCGTGCCATTGTTGGGTCTACCCAGTCTCCAACTGTGTACATCAATCCAATAAATCCACTTTTATAATTTTATATATATTTGATTGGTTCTGTTCCTCTACAGAACCCTGATGAACACCTTTGGATGCCCGTTTTTCTTACAAAGCAGCTGGTCTCTGGCTATTCGCAGTGCTGAGGTGCAGAGGCCTTTGAGGAAGCTTTGCCCAGAGCTCTGCAGCTCCTGCAGGAAGCGCCCTACGGGAGGCGAGCCTCACTAAGTCGGCTCAGCCATGACACCACCATGGGCTGGAGTGTGCTCTCCCATCTAGACTGTCAGGAAGAGGCTCTCACAATGTGCCTTCCTCCCAAGCAGGGTCCAAATCCTCTTTACAGCATTCTGCCATTACTCACCACCTCCAAACACAAGCAGCCCATCACCCCCTAAGATGACTGAGGTTGAGTGTCATCCTGTGCCCGGAACAGTGCTGTGTGACATGAGTGTGTTCTTCTTACTAGTGGCAAATATTAGAGACGTCCAAAGGCTGTCCTCTGCCCGTGCTTCATTGCTCCCAGGGAGGCAAGGCCTTGGTTTCAGGCAGGACACGGGCAGTGGGTCTTCTGTAAGTCAACAAGGTCTTCTCAGTGCACCCCACTTACAGCACACCAGCTGTGTGCTATGCTAGGAGCCTCACCGTACCATCTAATTCCTGGGAGGCAGGAGCTGTCACTCTGCTGCTTCACGGGGAGGGTGCTGAGGCTGAGAGATGCCCTCCAAGGCTCAGCCACAGTCACCTGCACAGTGAGGGCTGCTGTGAACATTTCTTTAGCCAGGTGATTTCCCACCCCTGCTTCTTCTGGGAAGAGATGGTGTTTCCTTGGCCACAGGAAGGTCTGGTGAGCTGATGGGTCCAGTGGGATATTTCTAACTGGAGCTGGCAAATGAGTTCCTTCCTTCTGGTGCTGGGACTCTAAAGACCCAAGCCCCAAGGCTACCTGTGGCCAAGCCTCCTCCTTTCAGGGACAGCCAGGTGAGAATGAAGTCGCCCCCCAAAGGATGGGGATACCTAGTGTTCATGTGTCCCCAGTGGGCATGTGTCTATCCCAGGCCTGTGATCTGGCCATCTGAGCCAGCACAGGCTCCCATCTGAGAGTTCAGCAGGTCAACTGGCTTTCTACTTGCAACCCGGGAGTCCTGAGGAGCAGAGTTCAACCTGGGCTTCGATGAATTCAACACCTGTGCTCTTAGCAGCTAACTCTTTGTTTCTGAATGACGGTAACAAGCCAGGCAGCACAGTGGAAGGTCAAGTTAGAGATAGGTTGGTGTGGCCTGGAGCAGTGTGCAAAGTCTGCAGAAAGAAAGGGAGCCTGGAGGCAGGGGACAATGATACCATGCCAATGAGCAGGAAGGGCCTGGAGGTGGAGGTGACAGGGCAGCCACTGGGGCAGATTAAAAAAAGGGAGGGCTGGCCACGCCTTGGAGCAGGCAGATATTCACAAGGTAACTAGGAGGATTGCTCAGGGCTCAGAGACAGTGACCCATACAGAGGGTCCATTCTGCCCCTTTCACTTAGTGATTATCAGGGCAAGGCCTCAAAGAGCAGCCAGTGATAACCTCCAGGCCCAAAGGACTTGGATGAAGGAGGATGAAGCCTTAGTGCCTTGCTGTGAAACTTCCAAAGAATGGATGTTTGGTAGAAGGAATAATAGAAGTGTGGGTGTGACTCCCTCCACTACCTCAGAAGCACCTGAGTCAATGGGACCCCTGCCACAAGTCCAGCAAGTTAAGAGTGTGTTGGGGAGGGGAAAGGGGGAGGCAGTCACAGGGCAGAATGGGAACCAGTCTCTGACTGGTTTTCTTCCGTCAGGACACTGACCACGGGAGGCAGAACACAGAATTAAGGTAAAGGCAGCCTCTTCCCCCAGCCCCTGGCCCAAGGACAAGCAATCACCAGCCCATCCCAAGATCCCGGCTCTGCACACTTCACACACTGGGCCCTGAGCCCTGCCAGCCCTAGGTCTCAAACACCAGCAGTGCTTGCTGAGAACAATGGTTAGAGCAGGATGGCAGGTAACCTGAAACGAGGGTGGCCTCCACTCTCCTCCACAGCCCCAAGTCTGCCCTATGGGGAAACTGACACCGTGACAGCTGGGGAGCACATAGCGCACAGCTGAAGTATCTGCAGGACTAGATGGTAGGAAAGGAAGGGGTCCTGTCCTGAAGGAGTAAGCAGACACATCTGTAATCCTACAACAACGAGGAATAGAGAGGGGCTCATGTTGGTTTCATATAAAGAATATTAGATGAAAAATTTTAATGAAAAATGGCGAAGTATGCTGGGTGCCAGTAGCTCATACCTATAATCCTAGTTACTTGAGAGGCAGAGATCAGAAGGATCACAGTTCAAAGCCAGCCCTGGGCAAACAGTTCGTGAGACCCTATCTTGAAAATACCCACCACAAAACAGAGCTGATGGAGTGGCTCAAGTGGTAGAGTGCCTGCCTACCAAGTGTGAAGCCCTGAGATCAAACCCCAGTGCCACCAAAAAAAAAGAAAGAAAGAAAAAAATGAGTAAGTGCAGGCAAATAATGACAGGCAGAAAAAGAAAGACAATCAGAAACTCCAGGAAAAACAAAAGCAAATGTAGCTGTGAACCATCACTTGGCTCTGTATGAAACAACACTTACATGTCTTGAAAAATCCTAAGCATCATATATTGATTTTTGGTGTTTAAGATAAATCCACAAATAAAATATAGGAGATAATTATGACAGTCCCAAATGTAGAAGATAACTATTCTCCCTTCTCCACCCCAGTGCCTAGCACAGTGCTGGGCAAACCAGAGGTGTTTAATAAGTGCCTGCTGAACACCATAAATGATTCTGGTCTGTAAAATGGTATGAGCCCCAGCCTGGTCAGGCTGAGCCTGTTTCCTCAATAAAATGATCAGTTCACAGGCTGAGGTGACACTTAGATGAGCAAATGGAACATAAAGTATGCAATCCAGACACATGCTGCTTAATCACGGGAACAAGTGCTCAGAAATGCATCGTTAGGCACTTTCACCTTGGATGAGCATCCTGGAGTGTGCCACCACAAACCAAGCCAGCTCTGACAGCATATGCAAGATAATCTTATGGGATGACCACTGTAGATGCGGTCAGGGTCCCAAATTGTGCTCAGTAAATTGTTTCCAAGTGGACAAGAAAACAGTTTGTGGCTGTCAGTCCACATATCGTGCAGTAGCAGAAGAGCTAGTCTCAGCCCAGAGTCCCAAACTTCTGTCATCCCAAATCATACCACAGACTACCTAAACGTGACTTTCGCACACCATGGCTTCTCAAAGCCTAGGGAATAAAAGCTGCATTCTTAATATGTCCCTCAGAGCAGAAACTAGGGTGAGGCAAAGGACGGGCCCAACATCTGAGTAGGCATTAGTTTTCGGGGTCCCCAGAGCAGGTGCATCCTCAAATTCTGCACTGTATTCCCAGCCCTGTTGCATTAAAAGCTCTTCACAGTCCGTCCTCCTGTCACTCCTTCTTACACCCAGAAAACTCCAGCACCAACCACTGCATCCTTGCCTTTCCGCACAGTCTCCCGGGCTGAGCAGCATTCTGTGCTGGGTCCCCTGCAGAGTCCTACAAGACTCAGCTCCTCCATGAAGCCCTCTAAGACTGCCTCTCCCCTCTGCGTGGGCCCTGACCCTCCTGGCTCGGACAGGACAGTAAGGCGCTCCCTTCGCCCTGCCCTTGGGGCCTGACATTGCGATGGGCACCCCAGGAATGTTGTGGTCCGTAAGGCGGATGAAAACAGAATGGAGGGAAAGATGAAAAGGCGGTTTGTCTGTCCCAGCCCTGTCCATCCCAGCTAGATAACCCAAACTGCCTTCCTTCAGAAGGGCTCCTCCTGACTCAGGATGGGAGCTCACCCCCTTCTCGGCCGTGCCTCCGCTACCGTCTCACTTTTTAGGGCTCCCAGGGCAAGGAGTGAGTCATGGTCAGAATGCAAGTCTTATTCAAGGCTGAAGGACCCCGGAAAAGCCGGGGGCGACACCCGGAACTTGCAGATGAGTTGGAGCCACGGAAACGGGAGGGCCCAGCCGAGCTTCTCTAACCCCGGAGGGGTTCCCCCAGGTCTTCCCTGGGAAACAGTGGTCCTAGTGCGGTCACGTGGCAGGGAAAGGAGAGCCCCGAACTCTGGGCGACGGCGGAGCGGGGGGCGCAGAGCCTCGCGGGCCCGGGGATCTCCAGGGGAGAACGGAACAGAGGAGCGCGCGCAGGTGAGTGCCGGGAACGCGGTCCGGGTGCGGGACCCCGGCCCGCCCGCCCCGCCCGCCCCGCTCGCCCACCTGGCCTGCAGGAAGGAGGCGCCTGGCTGCGCGCCCGAACCCCCCGCCGCTCCCGTGAGCGGCCGCCTCCGCGCCGCCGCCTCCATGGCTGCCCCGCCGGGGCCCTGGCCTTCCGCTTGAGAGCCGGCTCTGCTCGCGGCGCACTGCTCCCAGCACGGAGCTCCGGCGCGTGAGGGGGCGGGGAGAAGGGGGCGGGGGAAGGGGGCGGAGCCACAGGGTGCGCGGCTAGGGCGGGGGGCGGAGCTACGGGACGCCTAGCGCGGAGGAAGGGCGGGGCCCGGGGAGGAGGGAACAGGAGGGCGGGGCTCCGGGCCGGGGCCTGGCGAGCTCCGCCCCGGGAAGTAGTGCGGTGGGGGTGGACCTGCGCCCGCAGCAAGTGCACCGATAGAGTCCCGGGATCCCCGCGTCTTCCCGAAAGGGAAGTTTTGCAAAGTCTGGCTGAGGCCTGGGTAGGGCTGGAGCAGAATAGGGCTCTGAGGAGGAGGCCAAACTGACTCACGTGCTCCCCAGGGCGGATGCAAGGTGCGTTTCCCTTGTCCTTGGGGATGGGATCGCCTGGGGTTACATGACCTTCCACGCGGTGCTGGGCGCCTTCCTTCCCGGATTAAAGTGGTCTCTTATTAAAATATTCCCACTGTGGTCCTTGATGACAGGAACCAATAATCCGTGGGTTAAGAGGGTAGCACCCAGAGGAGCAGGGGATTCTCTCCAAGTTGAGGTGGAGTAGGTGGAGAGGGTCCAGTCCTGGCTTTGTCGCTCTTTGTGGCTTTGGAAAAGTCACTTTACCTCTGTCATTCAAGCAGGTGTCAACTTCTTGCTGTGAGTGTGCACTATGCAGAAAGAAAGATTAAACCTTGCTCTAGGGCTTACATTTGGGTTGTTGGTAAGTTATGTGATGGAGGAAGTACTGGGTGTTGTGAAGAGTAGTTGAGACGGTGGGGTCAGAGGAGGATTTGGAGGAGGATATGTTAGCCATAACTTTGAACTTCTGAGCTGATGATGAAGTGTTGTTGGGTCTGGAGACCTAAGACAGATGAGTGAGTATCCTGTTCCCCATGGAGAGCAATGTCATTCCTGCATCCTGAGGAGATGGAGGCCTGTGTTCCGCATCCTGAAGAAGAGTTACAGAGTCTGATAGGTCTGCCACAGGGTGATGAACAAAACACTCTCAAGATTGTTTCCCCTCCCCCAATAAAGGTGCTAACTATACCAGTTCACCTAAGAAAGCCTGTGAAATGCACGGCCAATGAGAAAAACCCACCTAACCCAGAGTTAAACATCCATAAAAACCCCAGCCTTCACCTGAGCAGTGGGCTACCGGCTTCCGGGCTCCACTGCAGTGCTCTAACTGTAGCCTTTCCTTTCTCTCTAAAAAATCCTGAAATATACCAGCTCTGGTTATCATTCAGCTGCCTCACCAGCCAGTTCCCTGGCCTCTGAAGGCAAGGACCCTCGACACAGACCCGCAAAACTTCGACACCAGCACACAATAGGGTGAAAAGGAGTTGGGGAGCATGCTCCAGGTAAAGGTCCAGGCAGGCAGCAACTGGGTGTCCAAGAATGGCTGGTGTTTGGAGGAATGGAAAGTTCAGTGAGAAATCCAGAGTGCGGGGAGGAGGAACAGCAGGAGCTGAGCTAGGAAAGGACAGGTGCTGGTGGGAAGCCTTTATCTTGAGCGATGGGAAGAAGCTTGAGGGTCCTGGGTAGGAGGGTGGCACGCATTTGCATTGAAGGCACGTTCCCTTCATGGTGCCCAAGTGGATGAGAGGAGGCGGGATTGGAGACAGGAAGATCCAGGTGCAGCCCACAGGGTAGGTGTTCTAGTAAGAGTCCTGGACTGCTAACAGTGACAGTGGAAGGACAGATGTGGTGGCATGGGAGAGTTATGACCGGGTGCGTGGCTGTAGGTGAGGGGAGACAGCTTAGGTGTGGCACGGTTCTTGATCCGGGTGGATGGTGGAGTACCCCCTGGGTAAGGAGGGCTCATTCTTTAACACACTGCACTTAAGATGGGACAGAGAGCTATTGGCCCCTTGTGCCTAAAGCTCAGGCCAGGGAGCCTAGTAGACAGACTGAGTCACTGGAACACCGATGACATCCAGAGCCTACGGAGGCTGCATCTCTATGGGAAACCCGAGGACGACCTGTACCTGTACGGCAGACCGTACAGTCCAGCTGAGGCATGGGCAAATCGCCCAGCCCTGCTCAGCCTCAGTTTACTCATCTGTAACAAAGAGAGGAGGTCAGTGCCTCTGCCACACTGGGGTAATGGTGTCAAATGTGTGGTAACACATGAGACCTGGCACGAGTTGCCTGGGTATTTACAACAGTCTCTCTCTGGACCTGATGTATCCTCTAGGATGTGCAGTGTCTGAGCTCTGCCTATATTCATTCTATTTTCTTTTGGGTCTTTTTTTTCTTGGGAGATTTTTGTTGGGCCTATTCCTTCCCCATTTGGTCCAAGCCGGCATAGCTTACTTGGCTGTGAAAGGTAAAAGCTGCCTGCCCTGAGGTCATTTTCCATAAGCCCTACCCTCACCCCAGTCCTGGGCTCCAGCAGCCCACAGGCCACACTTCAGTCAGCATCCCAGCCCTCTGAATGGCACATTTGCTCCCTAGCTTTCTTTGTCTCATTTGCTTTTTACTATGTCAAAAGTAGAGCTGGCGATATTCCAATTTTGCAGCACAAGAAATCCAATGTTGTATCTGAAGTAGTGTGCCCAGGGTCAGCCAAGGACAAAGCTCAGACCGCATCCCAGGTTTAATTCTGGTGAATCCCATCCACAGACTGATCTTGGCTTACAGCAGAGAAGGATTGAGTCTTCCCACTCTGACCCAATCTCATTCTCTGTGGGCTTTGCATGCTTTTGGGCTCCAGAGGGAGGGCCGCGAAGTGCCGAGGACAAGGTCATGGATTTAATAACCCTCGGAGGTGGGTTTCCAGACATCAGAGGATGAGGCTGTGACCCATTTAATCCTCCAATCCCTTAAATACCAGCAAATCTGTCTTCTGCCTGCCACTGGCAGCTGCCCCTGGATGGAGGGAGTCCATGCTGGCAGAGGGCCATCCTGGCGGGGGGGGGGGGGTGCAGCCCTTAGCCAACAAACTCAAAAACTCCCCTAGCCTGGTGGGATTCCCATTGGAAACCTTTAAAACCATCTCTGTTGGCTTTTAAATTTCACAGAAATGTGGCTTTGTGAGTAAGGTTGGTCCCAACTGTTGGGCACTGAGTGGGGCACATTAGCAAGATCTTGCTGTGACTCTCTGGGGACATGGTCCCTGCCACCAGAAGGCAACTGATCTCAGCTCTTGGAGCTGCAGTTTCAGTGAGCAGCTGAGAAGGCCTTGGAATTGTCCAGCTCAGAGGTTTTTTTTTTTGTTGTTGTTGTTTTACTGGGATTTAAAGTCACATTTGCTCAGCAGGCACTCTTACCACTTGAGCCACTCCACCAGCCCTTTTTTTGTGATAAGTTTTTTTCAAGATAGGGTTTTGAGAACTATTTTCCAGGGCTGGCTTTGAACCGAGACCCTTCTGATCTCTGCCTCCTGAGTAGCTAGGATTACAGGTGTAAGCCACCAGCATCTGGCTTCTTAGTCCTTTTTAAAACTATCTGTAGACAGTACTCTTTTTTTTTTTTTTCCTCAGTTATCTTTTTCACTCCCTTGGTCCCCTCCTTCCCATTTTAACTTGATGGTTTTGGGGTTTGAACTCAGTCCTCGAGCTTGCTAGGCAAGTGCTCTACCACTTGAACTACAGTATTTTTTAGTGTACCTCCTAAAATCCTCCTGCACATTTAAATCCACCTGCTTGATTCTAGCTGCTGGCAACAGACTTCACAGGGTGTGAGCCAACTGCCCCCACCCCCCGCTCTGCACCTTTAGCCTGGGAAGTACAGGAGTCTTAGATACTCCATGGAGTGAGACTTTCCTTTTCTACTTTTTTTTCTTTTTCTTTTTGTGATTCTGGGGATTGAACCCAGAACCCCTTGTACGTGCTAGGCAAGCCTGGAGCTGGTGGATAAATTTTCTCTTCCTCTTTCTGGATGCACTGCCCTGTGCTTCTAAAGATCAGTCACAGCCTCTTTAAAGAAGATCCTGCAAGGGCCGGAGATGTAGCTCAGGGGTACAGTCCTTGCCTACCATGTGCAAGGCTCTGGGTTCAATCTCCAGGAAGCCGAAAAAATATCTATCACAAAATCTGGCATTGGTTAAGCTGAGGGGGAGGCCAGTCACAACCCACTCAAGTGAGCTCTTTCTCCTTCGTCTTTCATCTCACTTCCTTCCTGCACTGTCCTCCTCTAGTGTCAGGACACCCGCTGCCGCCCAGGCTGGGCTTGTAGGGAATGGGGTGCGGACAAGGTCTCACCAGACAAGGTCTCACAAGGGTGCTCAGTGGAGAGAGCACACACAAGTGGGGATACTCTGGTGAAGAGAAATAGGGCCCAGTGCCAGCTCTCCTCCCTCTGTAGTTTGCAGGTTTCCAAGGCGATGGCCCAGGCTCTCCACAGGCTCCCTGGGAAGCCTTTGCTCTCATCTGTCCATCATTCTGCAGGATAGAAGCAAAGCCAGGAGCACCCAGTCTCCATCCCAACCCAGCACTCTTCCTAGCCAGTCAGCAATCCGCCCATGCTGGCCTCCCACCAGCAGGCTTTGAAGGCCCCTGTGCGTGATGCACAGCTACCTGAACTCAGGAGCTGGGCCCCAGGAGGGTCAGTTATATGACAGGAAGGCAGCCAGCAAAGGCCTGGCTCGGATCCCCTGTGTGGAACACAGGGACCAGGCCTGGTTAGAAGACTGCTCGAGTCCCCAGCAGACTGGGGCACTGGAGGAGGACTGAAGGCCACAGGGGCATATGGAGACTTCTTTTCTTTTTTTCTCAGTTTGAACGCAGGGCCTCTTGAGCCATGTCCCCAGTCCTTTTGCTTTCAGTTTGTTTATCAGATCAGGTCTTGCTAACTTCTGGCCAGGCTGGCCTCAAACCATAATCCTTCAGGTCTTGTCTCCCCAGTAGCAGGGATTACAGGCATGCACCATCATGCCTGGCCAAGAGATTCTTTGTCAACTGTTGTCAGCTGCCTGTAGAACACCTTCTTCAGGCTGAAGTCACTCTCAAGAAAGCTGGTAGGGTGACCAGAAATCACTCTATGGGGA